CTAGTATAACCAGTAATTGGATATTTAGTTTGCCTTCCAGTGGACATGATTAAAGCTAAACCTTTGGGCACATTCCTAGTTTTCAGTGTCTACACAATTGAAGGCTTTTGATAAGTCAGGTTACCTTCCAAAGAGTCGTTAACTATTTATGTTCTCTTCAGTGATAGGAGATAACCCCACATTCTTGCCCAGACTGTATACTATATTTTATAGTAGCTTCTGATTTCACCAGTTTCGTAGATAAAATCAATGCTGTTTTGTTATTTTAATTTACAGGGCACTGAGTAATAATGAATTTTAGTAATTGGAAGACTTTCATAATTCTTACTGATATTTGATGTATTAAAGAAGCCAACCCTGGATCTGGCATCTGTAGTACAAATAATTGATTCCGTTTTGTTTTGTGGCCTTTTATTGTTCTTACGGTAGAACTATTTTGCTTTTTCGAAGAAAAAACACTTTAACCAAACAATGTCTTTTTTTATAGCTTAATTATAGAACCAAGATATTAGCACAATTCTAATGCATTGATCTGCTGATTAATTTTCTCTACATTGGACACAGATTTTTTAAACTATAACTTGTATACTTTATGAGTGCCAAACTTTAATTTTCTATATTAGTGAGAAACTGTGGTTGCCTTGCTTTATTAAAGTATAAAATATTGACTGCTTGTTCTCTGCCAGGCATGGTCGCTCATTGAACTGGGAGTTCCTGAGGGCAGCTGAGGTCTGGAGGTGTGAACAGAGATTTTTGTTTTCTTTTTTAATTTCTTCAGTTTTAGGTAGAATTTTAGAAAATCATTTCTACCTTCAGATCGTTATTCACACCTGGTGTTTTCTTATTTTTCCCTTCAGCTCTGCTTTTTGTCACATATATGTTTTTTAGGTCCTCATTTAGGAGAGGTGAATTGACTCCTTTGTCATTATGTAATGTCCTCTTTATCTCTGGTGTGATATTCCTGTCCTACAGCCTACACTATTGGAATTACAGTAGCCACACCAGCTTGTGCTTGCTGGTTGTTGTATCATTGTAGTTAAAAATGTATCTCTTAGATAAGGCATATAGTGGGTCTTACTTTTTGTTAATTCAGTTTGACAATCTCTGGCTTTTAATTGGATTTTTTTTTTTTTTGTGTGATACTAGGGGTTGAACTCAGGGCCCTGTTCTTGCTAAGCAGGTACTCTATCACGGTAGCCATGCCCCCAGTATGTTTTGTTTTAGTTATTTTTCAGATAAGGTCTCACTAACGTTTTTGCATGAGCTGACCTTGAACCATGATCCTCCTATCTCTGCTTCCCAAATTGCTGAGATTATGGGTGTAAACCACCGTGCCTGCCTTCACTGGAATTACTGGTCTATTTATGTGTAGTGTGAATGCCGATGTGGTTAGGTTTAAGCCTTTCTCCTTGCTGTTTATTTTACCTATGTTTCCTTGATTGCTTTTTTTTTCTTTTTTCATCATCCCTGTCTTCTTTTTGGTTAATCAAATATGTATTAGCATTCCAATTTGTCTTCTTTTTGGTTAATCAAATATGTATTAGCATTCCATTTTGATTCTGTTGGCTTTGTTAGATCTCTTTTTCTACTTTTAGGTAGCCTTAGGGATTAAAATAGTCATGTTTAGTTTATATGGCCTTAGTGTTTATGTTACTTTACATTAAATATAAGACGCATACAGTAGTAAGATTCTGTTACCTTTTCCTATCCTTTTTTGTTTAAGGTCTTGCTGTATTGCCCTGGCTGACCTTGAACTGTTGGTTGCAAGCAATTTTCCCACCTTAGCTCCCCATCTCTCTCTGAAATTACTTACCTATTCACTTATTATAAACACATTTTTCCTTTGGCTTACCTGGATCATCCCAGTATCTGTTTCTTTCTTTTTTTTATTATTTTTTACAGAGTGCTTTTTAATTATGGTGCTGGGTGGGGGTACATTGTGAAATTTACAGGAGTTATTAGAGTGTGTAAGCTATATCATACTTGAATTCACCCAATATCTGTTTCTGTTGACCTTTGTCCCCCTTTAATTTTGGGTCACATTTTTTTCTTTGCATGTGTAATATGTTTTACCAAGTTGAATGTTACGAGTGATAGTGTAGGGAGTCTGGACTAAAGGGTGTTGAATTTTGTTTCTGAGAGTAGTGCTATCAGAATTGGTTCTGTCTCTCTGTATCTGAGTTGTAAGGCTGATATTTCCATTTTAGACTTAGTGCAAGGGCATGGCTGTAACTCTAGAGCAAGATCTTTATTTCTGATACACAGCCTTCCTGGAGTCCCAGTTGAACATCTGAGGTCCGTATGAAGAGCTCTTTTCTCATACGAAATTGAACAATGAAACCTCTTCCAATTGCTTTAAGTGGGGCGGGGAGAGGGTGGAGGCTAGCTAACCAATGTACACTGTAAGCCTGTTTGGAATTATCACAATGAATCCCCCCCCTGTGTAATGAATATATCCTAATAAAAATGGAAAAGAAAAAAAACCTCTTTTCTGGTTAGGCAGGACTCTGGCATCTCCTAGCATGGCATGACCTCTAGAATCTCCCCCTTGGGCTCATGGACTCTTGCCCTGTACGTTGACAGTGAAGCACTTAGAAGTGCTCCTGGGTCCTCCCCTCTGCTGCTATGGTCCACAAATTCTAGTTGCTTCTACCATTTGGAGTAACCATCTTTTTTTTTTTTTGGTACTGAGGTTTGAACTCAGGGCCTCACACTTGTTGGGCAGGCAATTTAGCACTTGAGCTACTCCACCAGCCCTGTTTTGTGTTGGGTATTTTCGATAGGGTCTTGAACTATTTGCCTGGGCTGGCTTCAAACCTCGATCCTTCTGATCTCTGCTCTTGAGTAGCTAGGATTACAGGTGTGAACCACTGACACCTGGTGCAACTATCTCTCCCATCTCGCTCGGCTCATGAAATTGCAGTCCTGTTTGTGCAGAAAACACCCCTCAAGCAGAAAGTCAAGCCAGTCATGGACCACCTCCTGAATTTCCTTTCCTCAAGGCTCACAGTCCTGTGCTATCTGTGGTCAGTGCCTGAGCACAGTGGTTTCCTGTATTCCCAGTTTTACAGTTTTGCAGTGAAGGGTAACACTAGTACCAATTACCTCTCAGGATTGGAAGCAGAAATCTGCCAGTTTACTTGTAGCTTGTGTCTTCCTCATTAATAATATGAAAACCACTTCCCAGTTTTGTTTTTGTTTTTTTTTCTGATCCTATCTGAATTTTCTATCCGATTTTCTTTTCTTTCAACAGACCCTTAATTTCTGTATTGACTGCAGAGTTTTCCTTAACTTTTGTTATAGGCAAAGTGTCTGAGCTTCCAGGGCCTGGCCTTTCATCCACCACTGCACAGACATGCCTGGTGACAAGTAGCCCAAGGATACCCTGAGGGACTTTGTCACCCTTTAGTGTTCCTTGTTGACAGCAGTGATAGCCTGAACGATAGCTCAAGTTGGGCGTACTTGTTCTGAAGGTTGTTTTTCCTTTTGAAAATGATTGGTTTAGATTGGAGTTTGGTGTGTCACTTGGCCTTACTTTAACATTCAAGGTATCAGATTCCTACTGCTCTGAAACTTTTACTGTGTTTTCTGCATGCAGGATTGACTTGTTTGTAAGTAACTTTGGCTTTGAACATATTTTCTGATGGCTTGCAATGACTAAGGCACAGTAAGTTCTCTTTCTTTTCCGTAGCATTATTTGTGTTCCAAAGTGTTGTCATCTGTGTCTTACCCTTGTTTTTCATTCACACAACCTTGTGACAGTTTTATTACCTCTTGCCTCCTTCCAGTAGTCTTCTGGCCAATCAGTTCCACAGTTTAACCTCCCGAGAGTTGAGTCTCTCACCCTAACGTAAATAAACAAAACAAGAAACCAAAACAGTCACGCAGATGCCGGTGGCACACGCCTATAAACCTAGCTACTTGGGAGGATCGTGGTTCAAGACCAGTCCAGCCAAAAAAGTTTGCGAGACCCCATCTCAATGGAAAGAAGCTTGGTGTGGTGGCATGTGCCTGCTGTTCCAGAGATGACTGGAAGTGTAAAAGAAAGGATTGGGGTCCAGGCTTGCCTGGGTAAAAGCTAGACCTTATCTCCAAAATAACCAGAGCAAAAAGGGTTGGAGGCGTGGTTCAAGTGGTAGAGCACCTGCCTGGCAAGTACTAAGCCCTGAATTCAAACCCCAGAACTTGGAAAAAGAAATCACATTCACAGTTCCATATTATCTTCTGGTCTCTAGCTGTTTCCCAGTCTACCTCTGAGCCAGATTTCGGGTGCTCTTTACTTCCTGCCTCCACATTTCCCTTCTCTTTACTTATTGCTGTTCCTTTCATCACGATGCCCTTCCTTTGTCTCCATGAAGTTGCTCCTGCTCATTGTCCATGGTTCCTCCTGCCCACAGTGTCCACGATGGACACCTTCCTCCATGTCTCTGGGCTGCTGAACCAACTGTCCCTTTCACACTGAATTTCAGGTGATTGCGTCTCTGGAGACTCCAGTGTCCTCCACTGGTAGATACTCAGCAACTATTTGCCATTTCCCTCTCATGGGGCCATATGATCGAGGTGGGTGGGGGTTCATTTCCATCCACAGAAGGAAGAAACCAAGACCCTCAGTGTTCAAGTGCTGCCTCCCGGAAAATCAATGATTGCTTTGAGATTTATCATCCAAGTCTTGTAACTTTTTTTCCTTTGGCAGCCGCCCCAATCTCATCTAACTGGGCTCACAATTACTTTGGTAGGCTCTCCGGTGTAAACTGACGTTATTTTATCCATTGGGCATGTTCACATTCATAAAAAAATGAGGTGGGGATTTTTCTTCCTCCTTCTTCTCACAGCAGCTGTTCTTGGGGCCTACAGCTGCCAGCAGTGGTTCTCAGAGCTGCTGTCGTGAGTCACCTTGGCCTTCTCATCACGCAGGACCCTGCAGAGATGTGTGCTTTGCTATTTCGTATGTGTGATACAGTATCACCATCGGAACACAGTTTGCCATTTTCTTGTTTCAGGCACTTCGTCTTAGCAACATGGCCATGGGGAAGACAACCACGGGCCAGATAGTCAACCTGCTGTCCAATGATGTAAACAAATTTGATCAGGTATGTTGCACGTGAGGGACCCTTTTTTCAACACACCCCGTTTTCCTTTAGTCTGACTTGTTGAAATGTCAGGCTTTTGGTAGTGATAAGGATTCTTTTGAGGACATAACACAGGTACACTTTTAGTTTCACATCTCACTTGTTCTGTGTGCAATGCAGATGTAGTAATAAGTGCTTATCCTGTAGATTCTGGTTTTATTTTTCTGATGGTGCCTCCAACACAGTTCAGTAATGAATCTGCCGAGCTCAGTGTTCTGTCCAACGTGGTGAACTACCTCGTACTCCTGCTTAACTCTTTGTTTTTCTTAAGTCTCAGCCTGTTTTGGAGTAGTTGGCTAGTTGTGTTTTCCTTTTCTAGAGGCTAAACACCTGGTGGGTACTCAATACAGTGTCTGATCTATAGGAACCCTTTGGTAAATAATACCAAATGAATGGTTCCTAGCTAGAAATCACACCTGTACTCTATTGTACACACCCACGATTAACACTTAGCGATGTATCACAAGGTCCAAGTCATTCTAGATGCTGTCAGATCTGCATTGTCCTGGGGCTACTTTTTCAATTACTCATTTGATGAAGGTAGACTAAGGTCAGGGAGGAAGAAAATTTGGTTTTTGCCCTGAAGGACCTGTAACCTGTCCAGGGGATAAATGCCAAATGCACTGGGCATCATGGTATGGGGGGGTTCCCGGGGTCATGGGGCTCATTTTGTGGCAGAGAGCGTTCTAGGAAGTGCTGAGCTCATCTGTGAGGTAGACAAGGTCAAGGTCTCTTCCAGTGCCGTGGGTCACATGCACTTGTAATTCAGGGCCTGCAGCTGGCCCTTTGTTGCCCCAGCACTGTGGTAGAAATGTGAATTTCTGCTTCAGTTTAAACCCACTGTGGTCCTTTCTGTAGGATTCCCATTGCTCTTTTGGAGCCTGCTGGTTCCATGCTGTGTTCTCACTGATGTTGCTTTTATATAGTCCTAGAAATGCTTTGTCTTTTTCTTTGAAGGTGACAATCTTTTTACACTTTCTGTGGGCTGGACCACTGCAGGCTGTTGCAGTGACTGTTCTGCTCTGGATGGAGATAGGAATATCATGTCTGGCTGGGATGGCAGTTCTCATTATCCTTCTGCCTTTGCAGAGCTGCATCGGGAAGTTGTTCTCATCGCTACGGTAAGAGAAAGGCTGCTTTGAAAAATCTGTCATACGTATTCAGTAACACCCACCTTCTGCTTTTATTCAGAAACAAGATCAATGCTTTTATGATCGCTTGTTTGCCTATTTTGCAGACCCTGCAGGCTTAGCCAGATGGGGCTCCAGCCATAAGCGAAGGCCGATCTTATGGGGGAGAGGTGAAGGTGGTCTCTGGATGCTTCCAGATGGCTATTTTATTTTATTCATTTATTTAATAATTTAATATAATATAAGGTGCTCTCTATTTTAAACTTCTTGCTTATTTTCCAGCCAGCTTTTTAGGCACTGAGGCCTCAATAAGTAGTGTCCCTAAGCTGAAGTTATATAAAAGTTATTTAAAAATATATCGAATAGTAAAATCAGATGTTTCAGAGGCCCGATGCTAATTGCACTTTTTTGTTATGCTTGTGGCACAGCTATTTTCATGCGTGGATACATGCGTGTTGCTTTTAATTCAATGCTTCCATTAAATTATAGCTCTCCAAGGCCGGGGCCAACCTTACTGACGTCTTTATAGAGTCTCAGGTTCTAGCAGCATGAGCGTCAGAACAAGACTGTTGATGACGGGCTGGATGGTAAAGTGACTTAGATCTGAAGCAGGCGCCTAAGAATTGGACGGGAGCCACCATGAAGGCCGTCAGAGGATGGAGATGCCGCTGTGTTGATGTGGCAACATCAACATTGTTTAGTTCTTTTGTGTTGTTGCTCATGGTGTTTTTTCTTACCCTAGGGTGCTGCGTTCCGATGCCCCTGGGGTGTTGGAGCTGTCTTGGTCTCTCCTCTTCTCCTTTGCTCCGGCCACTTTCTTTCTATTTCATCTACATCTGCCAGTTGCAGTGTTGTCACACTCAGGTGCCATGCTGCCTTCCCTTCCTACTGGGTGCTGCTCCAGGAGGAGATGGATTGGTTCATTTTCATGTTTTCCTTGGCAGGCACTATAAATGTTCCAAAGTACTTCTGGAGTTGGGACAAATTGTTGAGTTCCTAATTGCAGTCTTTTTTCTCTTGTTTTGGTGGTACCGGGGTTTAAACACGGGGCCTAGCACTTGCTAAGTCTCTTGAGCCATGCTCCCAGCTCTTTTTGCTTTAGGTGTTTTTCGAATATGCTCTTGTATTTATACCCAGGCCAACCTGGATCCTAACACTTGTATTTATGCTTCACAAGTAACTGGAATGACAGGCACACACCACCATGTCCAGCTTTTGATAGAGATGGGGTCTTGTGAACTGTTTGTCTGGTCTGGCTTCAGTCCACAGTTCTCCTGATCGCTACCTCCTAAGTAGCTGAGATTATAGGCATGAGCTATTGTGCCTAGCCTGCAGCCTTTTTCTGTTCGTATTGTGGGTAGGACCTGCCTTTGTTGTTGGAGCAGAAGAGCTCAAGGGACTTATTTGATCTGGAGTCTCTGCTTGTTCTGTGGTTGATGCCATGTCACTGTGGCTCATCTCTCATGTCTGTCCCCTTAGGAGCAAGACAGCAGCTTTTACGGATGCCAGGATCAGGACCATGAATGAGGTTATAACTGGCATAAGGATAATAAAAATGTATGCTTGGGAAAAGTCCTTTGCAGATCTCATTGCCAGTTTGAGAAGGTAGGTTTTTGTGTATATCATACCGTATTTTCTGCTTTTCTATTTCTTATTTTTATTGAATGAGTTTAGAAGTCTGATTATGTCTTTACATTAGGATCAACTTAAATATAGTCACCCCTGCCTGTGGGAGTAGGTTTAAGTAAAGTGGCACAGGTCCTGGTTTTAACCTGGACTTCCATTTACCATTTTATTAAAGCAAGAAGTATATGCAAAAATGCTACAAAAAAGAAACTAAATGTTTCTGAGTACTCTCAGTCCCCACACCCAATGATTCTGAAGCTGGAGTTTTCTACGCCAGGCCCAACAAGCCCAGGACTTCCACATGTCACGTCTGGCCACTTCCCCCAGCATGGCACACAAAGAGATGAGGAATGGTGGAGGGCAGAGAAAGGAAGGTTGTTGCTCGGCGTGGGCACGCCCCAGAAGAAAGCACCTCAGCCCACCTTTGGGACACCTAAGGGAGCTTTAGGTTTAAGTAGACAAAGAACTTGGGGCACTGGGCCAAAGGTATGTATAGTTAAATAGTCCCAGTCACAGGCGTGGTTCTGGTCAGGATAAGCAAGTCATTGTTGCCTGGTGGGTGGTCCACCCTGCGGAGGCACTGCTTTTTCTGTCCTTGGGGGCAGTTTTCTCAGTCCCTCCTTGTCAGTCAGTATCTCTCAGTGCCATCCTTTCTGAATTCCAAGGTGTCTGCAAGGTGAATGGCTTAGAGAAGAGAAAGATACAAAAATGGAGCAGGGGTGCCAGCCTTCTCTCCTGTTTTTAGTTAATTCATGGGCCCCAGTAAAGAGTCACTGCTTTTCAGCAAAAGCAGTTTAAGTACCCATTACAATTCTAAGATGTAAATATTTGAGACTATTACATTTAAAATAAAAATGTAATTTATGTTAATATAGCCAGATGGGAAGATTGGAGAGATTGGGTGTACCTATATTGAACCAAACTGTATGAGTAGTAGGTATTATTCATTACAAATAGCTATGGAAATACCATTCCTTTTGTCTTGCTTTGTATTTTTGGAATTATCTTTGGGCTTTTCATTTAAATATTTGATGAGTTTTTGTACTCCAGCACATGGGCCTTCAATCCTCTGGCTGAACCTGGCCACCTGTCACTTTTGCATGCACCTCTAAAGGTGTGTCTCCCTGTCCAAAGTTGTTTTTTCCTTCATTCTTCTCTGCCTTCCACCAAACACGCAATTCTCTCTGATTCCACCATTCCCAGTCACACACCTCTTCTTGCCCCTTGAGGCTCTGTGCTGGCTTCTTTTGTCTAGTGTCTTGGTATCTCACAATTCTGGGGTTGCTGTTATTGTCTCCCTCGAGTTCCAGAGTTCCTGGAGGGGACAGGTTGTGTCTCACTCACCCTTTTGTTATTAATGAGGTACCCCGCCCAGGACAATGGTTATGAGTGCTTCTTGGATGACTCTGTTTTGGTGTTTGTCCAAACCCAGTTCGAGTGACCAGGAATGTTATAGCATGCCTTAAGCATCTTTTGTTTGGATGAGCAAAGTGGTTATTCAGTGTTTTGTGTGGTCTTTGTATTGAAACTGGTTCCAGAACACATGCTACAAAATATTTCCATAATGTCACAGACAGTTTATCTTAATGTGTGTCTGGCCCAGGACACGTGTGCGTGACTTTGATGTATCCATGGAAACCTATGGTCTGCTCTCTTTTCTAGGAAGGAAATTTCCAAGGTTCTGAAAAGTTCCTACCTCAGAGGGATGAATTTAGCATCATTTTTCGTTGCAAACAAAATCATCCTGTTCGTGACCTTCACCACCTACGTGTTGCTTGGCAATGTGATCACAGCCAGCCGTGTGTTTGTGGCAATGACGCTGTATGGCGCTGTGCGGTTGACAGTCACCCTCTTCTTCCCTGCAGCCATTGAAAGAGTGTCAGAGGCAATTGTCAGCATTCGAAGAATCCAGGTTTGGTGGCAAATAAAGTTTTTAAAGTTGTAGGTAGCTTTTAAGTAAGGGTAGGTAAGTTTAAAGTTTAGGTAGCTTTTTTCCTTAGTGTCACTGTGTCCCATTGAGGCAGAATTTAACCCTTTGAACACCAAAACACATTGTCAGTCCAAAATGTTGCGTGTATTCTGTCTTAGGTAGCAAAAAATAACACAAGAACTGTTGATCATTTGTGGGCACAATATAAAAAGCAGTGACACAGGGCTGTGAGTGATAACTGCAGGAGTGAGGAAAACGTTTAAATGCTGGAAAAGCAAACAAATTTCATCTCCTAGGCTAACTGGAATGATGAGGCAGTGATTGTGCAGTCCTAGGTTGAGTGGGATTCCTCTTTGTGCTGGAAGGAAAACAGAAGCCTGAACCACACTTAGCCCTGTTTAAAAATGGGTTCTCTTTTCCATAGTTGTCTTGCTTATTTCTTTCATGCATCTACCTTTTGGATCCCTGCCTTTTCTCCTTGTCCTCTTTTCTCTTTTTCTTGCTTTAAAAGGGCCATTTCCACGTCTCCATTCCTAAATTGCTAAGGGCAGGTAGTTCACACGACCAAGGCATGGAATGAGAAGTGCTTCGTTACTTGTGTGATGAATATGCCTGAAATGAAGAGGGCCTGGGTACAGGCTTGAGTTTCTAGACTTAAAAAACGTTGACTTTGTTTTGTTTCTGGTTCTTAGTCATGTTGGCTGCTCAGTAACAAAGTCCAATGAACTTAGATGGCCTGGATGTGATTTGGGAGGGGGTGAGACTTGTCAAAGCTGAGATTTTTTTTTTTTATGCTAAAATTTGTTCTGTCACTTGAGCCATTCCCCCTTCCCTTAGCTTCTTTTTTTTTTTTTTTTTTGCATTATTATTTTTCAGGTAGAGTCTTGTATTTTAGTCTGGGGCACCAGAGACTATGATCCTCCTACCTATGGCCTTCTGTATAGCTAGGTGCACAGGTGTGCACCTGGTTTATTGATTGAAATGGACTCTCAGTAACTTTTTGTCTGGATGGACTCAAACTGTGATCCTCCTGATTTCTGCCTCCTGAGTAGCTGGGATCACAGGCATGAGCCACTGTGCCTGACCACCAGTGAACTAAATTCTTTCCACTAGGCTCTGCCTTTTATAAGTTTCACCACTTACCAATAGCACCATAGGCTGGCGACCAAGCCTTTAACACTTGTGCCTTTGGGGAACATTTATCCAAACCACAGCCTAGAAAAAAGGATGTGGCCCAAAAGAGTTAATTCAGGGTGGCCCAGCCTGTACCAGAAGCAAGCAGATTGGAGCAGGACATCGGTAGAATACCCGGCCTGGGTTGAGGGGGAAAATGTCAACCGGGAGCTGGATTGTGTCCAGAGAGGGGGTAGGGCTGGTCTTTCCCCTGCTCTGTATGTCTGAAGCTTGAGTGACTTGATGGACCTGCTCTGGCATTGAACCTGGCTCTCAGGCTGTGAGGACAGCTGGGGTTTTTTGTGGGGGGTGGGCATGTAGATAAATGCAGTCTTGCTTGGTTAATAAAATTAGTCTGATCGTGGTCCTGGCCATTGTGAGATGAAAGAAGATGCAAATAGCTAGTCAGTACTTACTGTGTAGCAAGTGCTTTCTGAATACTCCCTTCCGTCACACCCTAAACCACCCTGGCACCCCCATTGTCCACATGAAGAACTGATGCCTGGGGAGGGTAAGTAGCACCTCAGAGTTTTCACAGCTAGGAGAGGCTGACCTGGAGTTTCCGGCTCGGGCAGCCTGTCTGGCAGGTGTACACATTCTCGCTACCGCTTGGTTCCCCCGTGAAAGTGAGGGTTCACCAGAGAAACAGAACCAATGGGTTTGTGTGAGTTCAGAGATGGATGAATTGATTTTATATGGTTGTGATTATATATATGATTATATGATTATATATTGATTTTATGTGATTGAAAGTCCAAGAACTTCAAAGTGGGCTTTCGAGGTAGAGACCCAGGGAAGAGTTGAAGCAGAGTTGAGGCAGAATTCCCACCTTTTAGGCCAGTCTTTTTTTCTCTTAAATGAATTCCTTGCAGATATAGCAGGTGCTCAGAATATGGGCAAGGAAGGAAACTTCTGCCTTCATCAGTGTGTGGGATTTTGCACGTGCCTAACAACTGAACATTGTTTTAGAGGATTGTTATACCTTTTATTCGCTGATGAATTATGCATCCATAGTGTGGCATGTGAGGGACATTTTAGGAGGTATTCAGGGGATTGTGGTTAAGTTTTTGGGTAGGCAGAATCTGTAGGGTCATCTTCCACCCAAATGCAACTGTGTCTATAGCTTAAAATTCCTTTCCTTTTAGATGTGTGCAGTGAAATAAAAATTATGACCTGTTGAAAACTTTGTTTTCTTGTGACTACCTTTCCTAAAAGTGTAATTTGGGCAGGAGATCATGTCCTATCTGCATGGATGGTGGGCTGAGGAATTTATATATCTGTTCATTAGTTATTTTCAGTAAAAGTGGGATAAATGGCAGAGGATAAGAGTGGTGAGGAAGTGTTGGTGTGGCAAACTGCTTTGTGGTGGTCTTGAAGGAATTTGGGGTATCTTTTTTCTTGTAGATTTTAGACTTTTTTTTTCAACTTAGATGTTTTTATAGTCCATTAAAAATTTTTGACCTCTAATACACCAGAATCCCCTAAGATTGCTTATAAAAATGAGATCATCACATCTCTGATTTTGATTCACTTGGTGTTTGCTGGGCTTCAGCTATCTATCTATTTAGTACATATCTCCCTCCAAGCACCTGAAAATATGCTTACAAAACTTGTCTTAGTTGTGGGGAAGAGAAACCACACAAGGTCAAACTGTTTAGCAGATATAAATAAAATCAAGATCACTTAAAATCAACTGAGAGGAAAAGCATAAACACCTGTTTCAGCTAGATGTTTTGGGAATAAATTTAGAATTTATTCAGTTATTTAATCGTTTACTCCACAAAATGAGCAGCTAGCTCAGGCCTGGCACCCTGATAGATGCTTTTGTTTGATGGTTAGCAAATGCACAGAATTCTCTTACTGAGTGGTAAGTCGATGTGTGCTTATGTGTCATTGAGATTGAGTGTAATTAACTGGTCCATTGTTCACTTTCTACCATTTAGATGTATTAATGAACAATTGGAGGTGAAAATGGCAGAAGAAGAAATTGACCAGGTGATCGAAGCCAGGTTGAGGAGTCTACTCCCATTTCTTGTGTAGGGAGCAGGAAATGTCCCCTCTCTCTGCTTTTTCCCTCCTTTATCTGGTTATACTAAAATAAATCCTCGCTAACACTTTAGACAAAGAAATAGACAACCCTAAAAACAGGGTGGGTTTGACTATAAATAGATCAGAAGCTGGTAGTCACATAGAGTTCAGAGGACGTGGAGTTCTGAATTTCTTGCTGCACATAGTCTTTTGTAGCCTGGGAGTCAGATTAGGCCATCTTAGGTGATTTCCAGTAAGATCATTTCGGGGAGCCCTAGGAAGAAATCCACAGACACCTTTCTATCTTCTACTTTCAACTTGGTGCCAAGGTTCACACTTATATAAGGCAAACAAACCTACATGTGGACTCTGGTGTTGTGTCTCCCTTTACACATTCTTTTACTTTCTTTTTCCAATGTGGGAATCAAACCTAGGGCTCTTGAGCTTCACATACTTTGTAATTTCCTTTTCTTCCCCATGTACAGAAAATAAAGGATTTATTAGAAATTATAGGCACTAGAGGTTTGTTTTAGTTACAGACACGACTGATGACCTTGGCATTGAGCAAGTCCAAAAGGATTACAAGAGATTTTGTCTCATTAGGACACTGAAAGTCTTCAGTGACTTTCACAGTCTTGTCAAGCCACTTCCTTCCCAAGCCCCAAGTTTTCTGTCCACCAGTCACTCAAGTCAGTCTTGTTGGCTCAGTTCTGATGTCTGATACTTCCTTGCATGACCTGCCATTAGGATACACTTCATTCCTGTCGTATCAATGTCATTTCAACTTTTTCATCAGCCTGAGTCCTGGAGAAAAACCCAGCCCACACTCTGGCACCTTCACAAACCATTCACGTATTGAATGGAGTCCCATTGAACCACTGGGAAATTATGTCCTTGTCCCTCAGCTCCATTATTTGTGAACAAATGCTCAGTAGAGTTACTTCCTTACCTTATGCAGAGCTTGTGTTTTTCCTTTGGGAGGTGGGGAATTTCTTTTGTAATAGGCACACACTGAAGATTGAGTTTTATGTCTTGGTAATGCTCAGACGCTGAAGCCAGGATTTTATTCTGTGTTGGGAAGATCTGTGACATATCTCACCTTGTGCTTATTACTGTGCTTCCCACTGTGTAGGGCTGTAGTGAGGTAGTTATTGGTTTGACTGATTTAAACCAGCCTCCTAGTCTGTTTATTCATTTGGCAGCCATCTGAAGCGCTGGCTGTGTGAGGCATGGTGGGAGTTGGAACTGTGTTCGTGCGTTGTAAGTGGGTGAAATGTGTAAGCGCTTCTGTTATGGGAAACTCAAACAGAGACACGGGACACTGAGGCAAGAAGCAGCATTTTATTGTGCCAGCACAGACTCAGCGGACTCATGTCCAAAGGCTGAGCCCCGAAAACAAAGGGGTCTTACCTTATATACCCTTGCAAGCAGGTTGCAGAGGCAAAAAACAAAACAAAACAGAACAAAAACCGAAAACAAGGTTTAACCCACATATGGTTATGTGCAATTCCATGGCTACTTCACCCTAGTGCTATGTGACCCTCTTCGCGTTTGGATTCTTTAGGTTTTATCTCTCTGTTATGCCATCCCTTCTTCCCTGCTAGTTTATCAGAACATAGGCCTGTCTGTTTCTTTTCTGGTCCTCCTCCGTTCTACACTCCAGTGACATGTCTCTACCTCTACCACTTAATATCAGTAGGAAGTGGGGCCCTCTGAGCAGGTTCCCACTGAGATGGTCTGCAGGATGGGGTAAGATTTGCACTCAGGTTGTTGAGGCAGAGGAGTTTTGGGAGCACAGCTAGAGGTGCCGGAGGGGACACCGCGGGATGTTAGGCACAGTATGCATTATTAAAGGTGTTTCAAGAAGATCCTTAGGGAGAATTTGTTGGGGATAGGTTCACAGTGTTGTGGAGCCCTAGAGAAGAAGAGAGAACAGTGAAAAGCATGTCAGCATTTCAGACAATTAGCAGTCAGTGAGTTTCTTAAATTGAGTTCCTTCAAGAGGAAGAGAGAGAGAGACCATGGCCGAATAGGGAGAAATTGGCAGCTGGTTGACTTGGAGAGAAGACAGAGATGCTGTGGTTAGGTGTATCAAGTCCTCAGACCACCGTCTCTCTGCCCCTGCCTCCTTGCTGGACACAGACTGGTGCAGGTAGCAGTGGCAATCCTAGTCTTTCCTTGGTTCTCTTATGTATGAGTGGCTGGTGGGCAAATGGGAATCGAATAAACAGATTGGGTCTCATACTCCCGGGCTCTTAAGAGTGATGCATAGGATGCTGTTTTCTTTCCTACAGAGAAGAATTTCAGTTATTACCAGTATTTTTATAAAAATGAATGTTACGGTTTCCACATGAAATATCCCCTGTAAGACTCATGTGGTGCAGGCTTGGTCCCCAGCTGCTAAATCCAATCATCCAGAGATGATTTGACCTAATCAATGAATTGATCCATTGATGGAGCCGTACTTTGATAGCACTATTGGAAGGTTGATGTGGGGCATATTTGAAGGAAGTAGGTCATTTGGGGTATGTTCTGGGGGCTGTATCTTATCCCTTCTCCCTTCCTCACCCTCTCTGCTTCCTGGCCATCATGAGGGGAGCAGCCTCTTCCACACACACTCCTGCCCCATGCTATTCCAGCTCTCCTTAGGCCCAAAGCAATGGAGTCGGCCGCCCATAGATTATTACCTCTGAAACTGTGAGCCAAAGTAATTCCATCTTTAAGTTGTTCGCAACAACTTAAACATCCTGACATGGCGTGAAAAAGTAACTAGCATGGTAGAATATTAACAATCAAATTTACAGCTTTGTGGAATGATAGAATTTTAAGGGCATAAGGCAGTTATCAATTTTAGAATAGTAACTTAATTAAATATTGTTTTCCCTTTCTTAGACATGCTCAAATATTTGTTTTAATTTTCTCCTATATAATGTAGGGTTGATTTACCGGTGGGTTCTAGAATACCTGCTTAAAGCCATCTACACAAGTAGTTTATTTTCTCTCCTGCAGAAGTTCTTGTAAGATTCTGTGTGAATTTGTTAGGGATGCAGAAACCAAGTAGCACAAACTAGATGGCTTAAAACAACAGAAATGTACGCTGAGAATTCTGGAGATGTCAGTAGGGCCTTGCCCTTTGGAAACTTTTAGGGGAGACTCCTTCCTTATCTAGCCTCCAGCGGCTGATGCTTGCTGATGCTCTGCCGGCTCTGGCCTATTGTTATATCACTTCAGTCTTTGCCTACATTGTCAAGTAGTTGAATTTCTACCTGTGTTTCTGACACTGCCTTGTCTCTTCTAAGGAAGCCAGTCATACTGGATTTAGGGCCCACCATAAGATGAGTATGGCCTTATCTTAATTATATCTGCAAAATCCTGTTTCCCATCAATGATGTCTTTCAAGGTACTAGGATAAGGGCTTCACTATATTTTTTTGGGGCTGTCTTTAGTATGCTGTGCTCCTGTAATAAACCACCAGAGATCGGGTAGCTTGTTAAGAACAGATACTGTCTTTCAAATTCTGGAGGCTGGGAAGTCGAAGGTCAAGGTGCTGGCAGGTTTGGTTGTCAGGTGAGGGCTGCTGTTTGCTTCTACAATGGAGCGTTGCTGCTTCATCCTTTGGAAGGTGGGAGGACTGTGTTGTGCTCACACGATGGAAGGTAGAGAGCAAGAGAGCTCAGTGCTGCTTGAAACCTCTTTTTTTCATGAGCTTTAATCCCATTCATGATGGGAGTGCCCTTCTTCTGGCTTTATAACTTCTTAAAAGCAATGTGTGTGTGTTGCTGGGGTTCAAACTTGGGGTCTCATACATGCTGGGCAAACACTACTGTTTTTTTTTTTTTTTAAACACTCTTCTATTCGGCTCTACCTGCAGCCCAAAGATCCACCCATTAATACTATCACATTGGCCATTAAGTTTCAACCTCTGAATTTTGGAGGGGACACATTCAAACCATAGAGAAGACACACTTCACTCCATTACAAGTTCCAGGTAGAGTGATGCTCCATAGTATTAGGGACCCAGATTCTTTCTTATTCCTCCACCGTGCGTGCCCTTGACCAAAATGGCAGCTTCAAAGACAGTGGAGTGGAGGAAGTTCCTGGTATGCTCATTTTCCATCCAAGCCTGAGCTTGGATCTCATGGTTACGTCTAGCTGCCCAGAGGGGTTGGTAATAGTGGTTCTTGTTCTGGACTGCCACGCACCAGCTAAAGATTGGAGGGTTTGTTACAACAGTAGTCTAAAATCAGATTTTAGGACACCAACAGTTTCTGCCACACATTTAAAATCGGGAGGAGGAGTGTAGGCTGTTTAATTTCTGTGCATCTGTAGCTTTTCTTGTTAAATTATGTCTAGCATTTGAGGAGCAAAAGGGTGTTTTCCTGTAATCATGCTGGATTGTAATGGTTAGGAGGACTTTGTTTTATTCAGTTAAATTGCGTTGACCAGCTGCTGGCTGGTATAGAAAATAGCAGGTAGTGGAAGATGCTTCCGTTCCTGCTATCAGGGGCAGGACATTTATACTAAAGAGAAAAGATGAGTGATTATGAAAAGAGGCTTATGAAATTTGTTTAGGAGATAAAAGCTTAACTGGGTAGGAGTATGTTGTTTAAATTGATAATTTAAAGTATTAGGGACAAGTTGTGATGTTGATTTGACATGTGTAAGGGAGGAGAAAAACAGAATGACACTGAATGCCCATCCAGAGGACAGGAAGAGCCTTCCTTCTGCCTGTGCTTCTGGCCCTCCCTGGTTGTAAAAGGCCTATGACTGGCCTTTCTCTTTGTGCTCCTGGCCTCTAGCATGATGCTTGGCACGTGGTGAAGACTAAATATTTCCCAGTATTTTCCTGCCAGCTCCTATATTTACTATTAGAAAGATAAAAACAATAAAAATGTCTAATTCTGCATGTGTTCAGCCGTAGAGCAATATTTTCACTTTAGGAAGGAACCAGTACACTTATTGAAAAAATTATAAAGATTGTCCCCTCACGACTATGAATCTATCTCTCAATCTTTCTTTTTTCTTTGTCTCTCTGCCCCCCCAATCAGTTACTACAGAGTATGTTCTAATGTGAATTAAAACTTTAAATATAGCTGTTAAAATGATTATGTATTTGTCAAATATAAAGATTTATGTTGTATATTCAACAGAAGCAATGACTTTTATTTGTGCTTTTGTTCCTGCAGTTTATAAAATCTGTGTTGTTCATTTTGCTCTAGAACTTCCTGGTACTTGACGAGGTATCACGGCGCACACCCCAGCCCCCATCAGATGGTAAAGCGTTAGTACACGTGCAGGATTTTACTGCTTTCTGGGACAAGGTAATAAACACTCATTACAAGCTCATGACTTTCAAGAGATGGGTGACACTGATTTAATAGAGAATTTTGAAATTTTACGTATCATACAAAAGGTGACTGGCTCATTTACTGAAAATCTGTTAACAAATGTTCTCAAAATGAGGAGTAAGGCTTGCCATCAGTGAACGCAAGTGTAAAATCAGCCTAAATTAAAGTGTTGTTTTTTTTGAGGGGGCAGCACTAGAGTATAAACTCAGGGCCTTGCGCTTGCTAGGCAGGCACTGTACCACTTGAGCTGCCTTGCTAGCCCTAAAATGTTTGAAAGTTGTTCTTTATCTCATTTTAAAAAACCCTTTCATTGTTTCCTCGGTTTGTTGAACTTAAGTACCTAAGTTTAAATATTGGTAATGTTAGAATCTGTAGCACTGGATAGACTACGTGACTAATAGATACATTAAATTGTTACCAAGACTTTGGGGAGTCCGTATACATTTTTCAGGTCATCTGAGAACAGATTGAGGAAAGCCCATGATTTGGATTTTGCTGGGGGGTCAGGGTGGGGGTGTTTTTTCTCTGTGCCTCTGGATGGCATCAGTTACTTTGGCAGCCAGCGGGCATGGGTGAGGCAGCAGGTCAGCCCAGAGAGCTCCTGTTTCCTAACTGGAGGGTGTCTCTGTGCACAAAGTGGACAGGTAAGGCAGGCAAGGCATCAAGAATTTTGTGACACTTGGATTACTTGACATGCAGGCAAATGGGAAAATCAAAGGGACTACCCTAGAGAAAGTGCTCTGACCTCAGTGCATTCCTCTTTATCCATCACTCCAAGACCTTTGACCCTGAGCAGTCTGCAGAACCCCGTCTTAGTCTAGAAAACAGAACCCGCAGCATGGGAGAGGCAAATTCATGGCAGGAATTCGTTACATAGGTGATGAAAGAGCACAAGAGGAGACAGTGTAGGTGACGCCACTGTGAGAGTGGCGATGACAGGAACCTGCTTCCAGCCCTGGAGCGTGAGGGAAAGTCTGTCACTAGGCATCTATCCAGCTACCAGCAAGAGCTGAAATTGCAGAGCCAGGGCTGTCTTCTGGCACTGGGACTCTAGAGACTGTGAAGTGGGTCGGGGGTGCTGGTGAGACCAGCTTCTCCCTTCTGCCTCCTGGCCTCAGACAGGTGCTTTCCATGACTGACTTTGAGTTGGCAGAAGAGTCATCTGGGAGGTGTGTTGTGCAGGGCAGAACAGAGCCTGCAGCCAGAAGGCAGCTGAGCAGCACTCCCTCCTTCCCAGCTGCGCTCTGTTCCCCTGCCCCAGTGGTACCAATGTCAAAACCATAGTGTCTGAACCATTGGAAAATGGGCTCTTTTTTTTTGTTCTCCCAAGAATGCAGTAACATGTTCTTAGACTTTTTGCAGCTAACCTTGCAGTACGGAGCACTCACTGTGTTTCCCTGTCTTGACTGTGGGGTGACTAGCCCCACGCTGGAAGGTCCTTAGGTCATCAGGTCCTGTGAGGTTCTGGTGTGGAGGGAGGGGTACAGGCATGGGGATTTTGAGAGAAGTACACTGAGCTGGGAGTTAGGGTGAATGTGGACTCTTGTCACAGCCCCATTGGAGAGTCAGGTGAAGGTCTTTCACCCACCCAGCTTGAATGACCCAGATGGAGGAGACTTAGCCCTTTGGGCTGTCGAATGCTTCCCCCATTTGGTTAGGTGGAGAAAGGCCCAGTCCTGGCCTCCTGCAGGGTCAGGAACATCCCTGCCCTAATAGGAAGCTGGGTTGAGGCAAGCAGGTTTTATATAGTTGTCCTTCCTTATCCAAGTGCTTCTGCCCTTCAGGGGCTCCAGGCTCAGTTTTCTTTTCTTTTTTCTTTCTTTGTTTTTTTTTGGCAGTACTCGGGTTTGAACTTAGGGCCCTATGCTTAGCTAGGCAGATGCTCTACCACTTGAGCCACTCTGCCAGCTCTCAGGCTCAGTTTTGAATAATTCTTTTCTTCTAAAGGCTGTGTTGCTTTTGATTCACTCTTGGTCATTTTTCTGTAATACAGGAGAGCATGTCCCAAAGTTTGTTGTCTCTTCATTTCACCTCAGCTTCTCTCTGAAACTCCCATGTCTGCACCCTAACCCCCGCCCAGAACTCAAACCAGGACCTCACCAGACACAATCTAGTCTTTTAAGAGGTGCCTTACAAAGGGTTTGGGGCTAGAAAAAATTCACTAGATCCCTGGACACAAGGGTACACACAGTCAAGACTCCTAGATCCACCCTGTAGCAAATGCAGGTGGAGTCCTTGAGATTAATCCCCAAGTGACAGCTGTTTTTACTTTACTTTCAACAGTTACTATCGGTATTCTTCTGATAGTGTTGGTGTCTGGATTCGGATAAATTTCTTTCAGTTGGTGATTACTACTACTGAGGTTCCATACTCTCAGTGTAGACCCATCTGTTTTCTTATTTATGCCTTCTGATTTTTGCTTAGAAGGTAGATACTTCAAAGTACTGGTTGTCCTTGACTGAGAAAAGGAAACCTCATTTTGGTTTACAGTGCTCTGTAAATCTTTCCTTCTCCTCCAACATATGTTATAACCCTCTTAATTGACTTTGTAATATTTGAAAGTTCTTAGCAAATAAATTTGATCAGGCCTCTCAAAGAAGAAATTGAACTGAGAAACTGTAAAACAGCTTTTTTTTTAAACATTAACAGTTACTGAGAATTTTCTTGAAGTGTACTACAGGTTGAGTGTGCCTTATCTAAAATGCTTCAGACCAGGAGTTTTTCAGATTTTTGATATTCCCATGTACGTAATGAGGTATCTTGGGGATTGGATCCAAATCTAAACATGAAATTCATTTGTGTTTCATGTATACATAGCCTGAAGGTCATCTAATATGATGAGGTTAGATTTGGGATGTGATGTCAAAAAGTTTCAAATTTTGAAGTATTTAGGAATTGGGAGTTTTAGATGTGAAAACACAGAGACAGTCTTAAGTTTCTTTATCTTAGAATTTGTAAATTGTACAGCAGTATGAATTCTGATAGGACAGTGATGGCATGAGTACTTTCCCTCCGGCCCGTGGGTTGCACTGTGTTATAACGTCCGCATTCAAGGGGTTCACATAGCAGTGCCCTGTTGGTTCTGTTTGTCCAGGATACACAACGGCGTGCCGTAACCTGGAGGCTTTCCCACTTTGACCCATGATCCTCTCTGGCACTTAATTTCTTCATTCTCTGTTTGTTGTTAAATTAGAGCTCTGCTAACCGCACTGACCATCATTTGTAGGAGCTAGTTGTCGAGTGACTTCGTAATTTAAAATGCCTTCTTCTTTGCTGAGTCTTGGTGAGATTCATTCCTTGCCAAAGTGAAAGTGGAGAAACTAGTGAAGATTTCAAATTGTTCATTTAGTGCTGGGCGTGCCATGTGCCTGTGCTGCCACCTTGTGGGTGCTGATGAGACGAGTGAAGCCAAAGATCAGGTTAAAACTTAGAGCCAATTAAAAGCCTCCTCTCACACTGAATATTCTATCAAGAATTTTGTTTTAGTAAGTTGGTGTGGACCAAGAAGTTTTCATTCCAAGAAGATGGCTGTATCATTTGTACCACTTAAATGCTGTGGATGTCGAGAACCACATTCACGGGGAAATCAAGTGCAAGGGAAGAGGCCTTCCTTACACACACCTGCCAAATTGCTTCAGACCCCACAAAGGAATATGATTGGATGAAAAGGATGCCAGGAGACAATATCTGAACACAGGGAGGAGAAAGATGTGGATTATGTTTAGGAGCTAATGACTGTTGTTTTATTTTCTCCACCTTTCACAGTGATTTGTGTTATATTTTTTAAATGGACAATTTTTTTTTTAAATTTTAATTTATAGGCATTAGAAACTCCAACCCTACAAGGTCTCTCCTTTACTGTCAGACCTGGTGAATTGTTAGCTGTGGTTGGCCCTGTGGGAGCAGGCAAGGTAAGTTTGTAATGCCTCTGGGCAGCTTGATGTACTCCCACATCCCATCTTAAATTCTTATGTTGAACCCAAAGCTCTATGTAACACAATTTTGAGTTGAGTGTACCTGAAATGTCATTTCTCAGTGTGTTCTATGGGACGTTGGTTTTGCAAGGTTATGTAGCTGGGTAGATATGGGCAGTGCATGTTCTATTTGTTTTGGTGGTTCAAGTTGCACCGTCGGGAGCTCCTTGTCTAGAAGTTAGACATGTCAGTGAAGGAAATTATTTGAGGCCAATATTAGGATGGAATGACTGAGAAAGTGGGGACTTTTTATCTTTTGTCAAAGTGTACCCTAGGTGACACAGGACATATGAGGTTGCCAGCTTTGTATGACTGTGCTTAGAGCAAAAGATAACGCATAGAAACCAGACCCCATGCCTCTGCCCTCCAAAGGCACCCGTACTCTGGGAGAGACAGATAGGCAAATGGGTAGTTTGAGTTCAGTGTTTTAAGCACTCCGATTATGGTGGGCCAAGAGACAGATCACATCTGCATGTTGTAAGACTTGAAACATGTATGAATGCTTAGGTCTTGTGCATTCTCAAACAACAGAGTATAGGTAGCTAAATGTAGGATGTACAGATGGTAGGGTGACTACTTCCTTTCATGAGGGGGTTTGCTCCCCAGAGTTCCTTTTAATAAAAATTTTCCCTAGTTCATTGGATCCATGCATAGCTTTTCTGGAACAAGTACTTGGTCAAGTGAACGAAACCTTTATGTAGTATAGCTTTGTTCAATATCGGATATATGAAATATATATCATGTTGGGCTACAGACATTCTTCATTACACATAGCACTTCATATAGCTTCTTAATTACATATATAATTCCATATAGTATTTCATCTGGGGGAAATTCGTTTTGGCAGGGTAGATTGTCATATTGTGTTTTGTTAATAATTCTTTATAAAACATTAGTTTACTTTGACCAGTAGTGATATTTTCAATTTTTTGTTTTGGTGTCCAGTGCTATACCGTTTCCTATTTTAAATGAAAGAATTATGTTAGTCAGATCTCAGGGCTGGTCAAGGCAGCGGAGCAGTGGCTGGTTCTGTCCTGAGTGCTGACTGCATACGTGTGTTTGTGATGTGTTTCAGTCGTCACTGTTGAGCGCTGTGCTTGGTGAGCTACCTCCAAGTCAGGGGCTGGTCAGCGTGCATGGAAGAATTGCCTATGTTTCTCAGCAGCCTTGGGTGTTCTCAGGAACTGTGAGGAGTAATATTTTATTTGGGAAGAAATATGAGAAGGAACGGTATGAGAAAGTAATAAAGGCTTGTGCTCTGAAAAAGGTAAGTAAGGAATTTTGAATTTCAGATGCTCAAATTTCTAGTAATATTGTTAGTTTAAAATACAAGGTTTTATTTTTCAAAAGTTTTGAATATTATTTAATACTTTCAGCTTATCTAGGAAAACACAACACATTGCTGTTTTGATCCTAGTGTGATAGCAGCATTCACAGGATGAGATTTTTGGGTTAAGTTTGGTTGTATGACATTCTGTGCACTTTTAAGTTTGTTTTTTGCACAAGTCGGGAAAATAGTACATCAAATCTGCATGCACCAGCTTCAAGCAGGGTCATGTCCATCCCTACCTTCTGTGAGCCCCATCCCCACCCCAAGTTACTCTCAAGGAGATTTTAGTCCTTTTGTAGTTCAGCTGTAAATTTTTTGTTATCATCTCTGGAAGATAAGAACTCCTTTGAAAAAACGTAACAACCTAATAGTGTCAAAAGCAGTGACAAAATTGCTTGAGATCATCAACCTTGCAGTCATTAAGAAATATAAGTAAAGTACATTATGTTCATGTATAGAAGAAATATCACATTGAAACGCCTTTGTACAACTAAAGTACACCAATAGAAAAGAAGGGAAAAAAAAAAACTATTATTCACTGGTTTGAGTCGAGAGTTCAGGTAATCTTGACCTTTTCCATACATGGCTTTCTCTCCACTTCATTTTTGACTCTTTATTTTTTAAAGAAAACAAAATGTTCCAAAGTTTCTTTTTCATATTGCATTATTTCACCAAGGGAGAGATTTTTTTTTTGAGTTTCACACAAAATGGCAAGATGAAATGTTTTATCAAACATTATGATTTATAAGATTGGTGGATGCTTGATGAAAACTGAACATATCTGATAGAAGATAAGTTAGCAAAAGGACAAAAGGCAAATACTGAAAAACACTGTCATCCTCTTTGGCTTATAAAAATTAGTGAATAATGGTGCCAAAGGGCTCACCGTGGGGTCCGTTCAGGGAAGCCTGGACCTCCCACTGTTCTTTTATACTCTGTGGAAAAGGCCAGATGGATTTTCAAAAGGTGTGTTGGAGGCTCCTAGCCAGCTTTCTTGAGAAAGCATAATTTTGTTTGAATATCATGATTGTATTGCTGAAGAGTGTTTTATGATGATGTGGATAAAGAAGTAATTACTTGTTTACTTTGCCTTCTCCTGTGTCTTTGTTAATGAGAGATTATGTGTTTTCATAAATGACATCAAGTCAGTAATGATGAGCCAGATTTTTATTAAACAGTTAAATATATATACTGTATAAACAAAGAAGAGGCAAGCAAATGTAGGACAGCAACAATAACAGATCCATTAGCCAGGGTCCACCAGGTGCTAATCATTTCTCTTTCCCTCTCCCTCTCCTTCCCCCCACAACTGCAAAGGTATATGAATTTTCAATGTTTCACCACAGTTTCCCAGAATCTTCAATGTTACTATCATCGTTTAGTAAAATGGGGTCTGGAGAGAGGAAATGACTCACGTGAACACTTGCAGATCAAGTTCAAACACACATCTTCATGGCTTCAGATTCCATTTCCTCTAGTGCGCTGCCACCTCTGCACTGGAGATGTTCCTAGGGCAGAGAAGTATTTGAAAGGTTGGGTGGTGCACGAGGGTAAATATGGAAAAATGGATCTTAATTGTTTCCTCTTCACCTTAATCAGGTTCAACTCTACCTTCTGGTGAGCTCAGCCCTGTTCTCTTTCTCCCTCGAGATTGACCATTTGTGCAGAAAAGCAGGTGTTAGGCCAATGGCTATTGCTTAGTATCTTCCAAAGCCTCCTGAAAGGTAGCCCTGGCCACCTCTAGACTCTTGCTTGGCACACAGATTCCCACGGGAATGGAGACCCCACAGGGCTTGATGGCATAGCAGCTTTGAGGGTGACTGTGCTGTGTGCTTACCAACATGGACTGTTACTGTTCTGCAGAGTGGCAGGGATGTGCTCTGTGCTCACTCCCGTCCTCTGCATGAAGGCAGCCCAGGGGCAGAAGTGGAGGCGAGCCTGAGCCCTGGCCTGGCCTCCACGCATGCTCATTTGTTACTTTGGATAGGGCATCACGGTGTCTTGCTGTGGCCTGTGCAGCAGAATGAAAACACTGGCCTTGATGGTTTCCAGTCAGTGTTGCCGCAGCCCCAAAATGCCATTTTTAACTCTGCTTAGGAGATCAGCTAGATCTTTAAGAAACCAGGGAACTATATAATGCATTATGAAATGAGCATTGGATTTCCTTTATTAATCTGTGTGCCAATGGGTTATGGAGATACAGTTGCTTCCTGGAATTATTGTGGCCTGTAGGTACACAGATGGCAGGTGCAATAGAAAAGCCTCCACCACTGAAGAGAAACTTCCCTGGGGAGCTCCAGGTGTTCCCTTCAGCTTTTCTTACTAAGCAGGGGGAGAGCCGCATTGATTGTAAACAGTGAGCAGTACCTGGGAAATGCAGACATGCCAGGTTTTTGGAAAATGATAGCTTATTGTCACTTTTCTCTAATTCATTCAATTAATGTGACAAATAAAATCAAGTGCCTCTTTATAGGTCCCCTCTCTTCCCCCCCAAAACACCATGGAGTAAAAAAACAGAAACAGGATTTCTCATTAACTATACTGGTAACTAGAGGTATTATACTAGATTTAATGGAAGTAAATAAATTCATTACACTAAGAACATTCCTGAGAGGGAAAGTAATAATTTCACATTAGCAGCATCCCTTTAGGCTAATTACCTATTTGAAGGGACACTGGAGTGACTTATAGAACATAGCCTCCAGAAACTGCCTAATCATGTAGCCCTTTAGGATAGCGGGGGTCAGACAGCTCTGGAACTGATCTCAGTTCCTCTTTACTGAATGTGTTTTTGGCTAATTGTCTGAACCTTACAAAACCTCAGTTTCTTCATCTGTAAAATGGAAATAAAAGTACCAGCAAACCTCAGAAAATGTGATCAAGCTTTTAAAGCACCTGATTCCTTGGCATATCGCAATCTCTTTGTAAATATTAACTCTGAATTATACCCCCAATCTTGGGTAAAATTGCATAAAATATGACATAATAGAAAGAATGTATCTGAGTGTATAACTTCCATTATTTGAACTGGCACTCATGCCAGTACTTTACAAGGTATACTAAATAAATCAGGAAAAATATTGTTAATTAGATAAACACCATCCCACATATTATTTAACATTTGTCTGCATGTTATTTTATTTTATTGGTGGTACTGGGTTTGCGCTCGGGGCCTCTTGCTTGCTAGGCAAGTGCCACACCCCTTGAGCTGCGCTGTCAGTACCTGCATGTCACTCGATTACCCCCGAATACGTTTTAGAACTTTTAAGCAATGTTATGTTCAAAGGTGTGGCATTGATAAATTCAAGTTTAATGTCTTTGCACATAGATCACCCCTCGGGGTATGCATAGGCTCATCATGGTTGTTGTTTTTTTTTTTTTTCCATATTCCTGCCAACCTGAACATTTTCTTTGCCTTTTGCCCTGACAATTATAGAATAATTATTGTTGTATCTTCTGTTCTCATTTCTCAGTTGGGATATCATAGTGGTCCCTGTGGCATGATAGAAAATAAAATGCTGAGTAGAAGAGGGACACAGGAGGCAAATCTAAATATGAAGACTGAGTTTATTAATATTGTGTGTGACTATAGAGGCTTTTTAAGTTGCTTTAGTATTGCATTTTTATTTATGTTTTTGGAGATAGCCTAGCTCAGGCTGGCCTGGAACTCTCCATCTTTCTCCCTCAGCCTCCTGTGTTCTGGGATTATAGGAGTGCACCACTCCTGTATGTATTGTCTTTGTTCTAGAAGGGCAACCTGATGTGATAGAGAAAGATGCTCAGTTCCCAGATGAACTTGGTTCAGATTCCAACCCATGTTTGTAATCACCAAGCATCCTTGAACCACCTCCATACCTCTCTTAGTTCCATTTCCTCCTCTATGGATTGTGCAAGTGCTAACTTTGCAGGTTTGGGTAGGACTAGAGATGACAACAGCCGTCCAGATCAGTGCTTAGTGCATAGCTGGAAGATGAACTGTGCACATGCATAAAAAAGGTGGTGCAGAACATTAATGAGAGATGCAGTCGAAGTGCTAGGAACCCAAAAGAAAGACAAACGATTTGTGTGTGTGGAAGCAGGGTGGTTTCACAGAAGGGAGAGTTTGAGCTGGGTCTGGAAGAATGGGGAGGCTCTGACAGGCCATAAGGGAAGCTCTGGCTCTGGGATGCAGCTTCCCTTCGCCAGGTCTTCAACTCTGTCCTGCAGACCCATTCCAGCAACCTCCTCAGCAGGGCATCTGCCATCCATCCTGGAAATGCACTGGGTGTGTTTCTGCTGCTTGGTATCAAACCAACCTTGTCTTGGTTTTTTTCTCTAGTTATGTGTCTGCTTTTCAGTGAAAGCTGTTGTGGGTGACATAACTGTATAAATGTCCTGAGAAGTCACTAAAGTGAGCACAGACATCTTCCTGTCAGTGGGTGCTGTCACTTAAGCTCAGCTCATGCATTCCCTTTCTCCAAACCAGAAAGTCATGGTCAGGAAGCTAGCCTGGCTCAGACTTGACTTTACATCCTTTGAAATACTTTCCCATCAGAGGGAGACTTGTCCATAAACAGTTTGCAGAGTCGGTGACACTTGCAGGTGAAGTATCACTGTCAGACTACTTCTGCTAGACTCAGGAGAGCTACACCTTCCCTAACTGCTAAATGAACAGCAAATGAGCCCTCAGAAGAGGGCTACAATTACTGTGCTACAACTGGGTGCTATTTGAGAAAGAAAACAACCTAAAACCAAGGCAGAGAAACCAAGGAGAATATATTACAGAGCTAGCCCACCATGAAACAGAGGCCACATAAACAGCATGTGTGTGTTTGTGTACAGGCTGGGCTCCTATCTTAAAATGGCTATTGTTTTTCATGAAAATCAAAAGGAAGAGATGGTGTCCACTTGTGAGCTCAATAAAGAAACAATGTGAAATGTAAACAGTTTCTCAATGGCTGCTTTTCCTTCAAAGCAACCCAGTGCAGCTTTGAGTACATAGGGAACTCTGTGTGTGGCTGTTGGAAGTGGGTTATACTGGAAATAGTCTTTTTCTTTTCCTTTTGGTGGAGTGTCATGCTTAGTGTGATTCTTGCTATGACTGGGTCCTACTGTGGTTGGATCAAAAAATATGTCTGCATTTACCACTAACAATTTACAATTAATTCATGTCCTTTTCTACCAATACAAGGTATTTCCATTGATTCTTACTCAGTGTCTTAGTAGTTTAGTAATTCTTGTTTATCCAGGACATTTTGTAGAAGAGAATTTAGGAGGGTCAAAGGACTTGCTTTTCAGAGGGAGCCCAGTGCTTTGCCAACACATTTGTCCAACTACAGACAAAGGAATGAGGGCTGATGGGCAAAAGGGCTCTTGCCGTAGAGCCTATGACTGGTGCTTATGCAAGTAGTTGACATGCAGCAAACTCCCAAACTCTGTCTGTGCCAGGCCCTTGCTGGTGAGAACTACAGACAATGAAGTAAAGGTTTCCAGTACACTTGGTATCTTAAGCCTGATTGTTATCCTGTTATTTTGGGGATGTTCGTGTCTTTTTTTTTTTTTTTTTAAGTTCTGTGCTTACTTCTTAAATAATATTCTGATGATGAAACTTTAGATAGATTCCTAGATCCTCAAATAGAAGCTTATCCTTCCTCTGTTCTCTTTTGTTTTCTTGCTTGCATAGAATAAGGATCTACTTCATCAAGCTGATCTGCCCAGTGTTCCTCAAATATACAGTTCCTTTTTCTTTGCTTTTCCCTATCCTGGCTGCTCTTCCTGCCCTTACTTCTCATATAGATTTTATCTTACTTTGTAGTACCTTCAGTGTCACTGTGAAGACACAGTCAAGTGAGAAGCTGAGGCAGAATTTGCACAGTGGCTGGTGATGACACACACACTTATCCCCTGATAACCTAAGTCCTTTGGCTGTAGAAGCCACATGTGTGCTAATGGCCCTCACAGCTGCTCTGCAGCACTGACCTACAGCCTTGCCTGTCCAGCAGTGGTGGGTGTCTGTTTGGCTGTAACTGAGTTCTTGAGTTATCCCCTAAGTCTGCACCCATTACCCTCCCCAGCTCAGTCGAGGTGACCCTGTCCTCCCTTTTCCCATGCCAAAAGCAGCATGGTCCTCTCACAGCCCACTTTCAGCCCATCAGTGAGTCTTAGAAATTAGTCCAGAATGTGACCACTCCTGTCCATGTCTCCTGTTCCCACTCAGGTTCTAGGTTGTTGTAGCAGCTCTTCACTTGGGTTCTGCTTGCCTCCTGTCCCCTCAACACCTCTTTTCCACAAAGAGGCAGGAGTGATTCCTTCCACAACCTGAGCCGATCATGTCATTCCTCCCCATTTTACAGAGGTGAAGCCATGGCCACTCTGGTCTTATTGACCTCATCTTCCAAGACTCGACTCATTGCTGCAGCTGGATGGCCTCTGGGTTGCTGTCCTTTGAACACCCCAGGCATGCAATTGCCCTGTTCCTCCTTCGCCATGGTCCCTTCCTCTGTACTCTTTCTCCAGATCTGTGTTTGTCCACCCTCCCCTCCTGCATGGCTCTGCCTAAAGACCCTTGATTTGAGCCCTTGCTGACTGCCCTTGGTCAGCACTCTCTGTGCCCCTAAGCCAGCTTCCTTTTTTCCTTAGTACTATCATCACATGAATTTGTGTTAATTTTTATATCGTCAGTCTTCCACCATGGAAACTGTAGGGACTTTGTTCCCTTCACTGCCAAAGTCTCTGTGCCCTAAACAACAGCTGTCCTGCTGTTGGTGTTCAGTTAAGTGGCTGTTAAAAGTGCATACTTTGAATAGTACAGCATGGAAATGCCCTGAGGGGTTTTTGAAAGGTTCAGTGTTACAATTTAGTCACTATGAAATGTGCCATTGCTGTTGATCCAATATGTGTATATTCCTAAAGAAATACTACTGCAGAGTTTAGGCTGCAGTAATATTTATAAATCACTTTGCCTCCTGTCTTTCTCCATGTAGGACTTACAGCTTTTGGAGGATGGGGACCTGACTGTGATAGGAGATCGTGGAGCCACATTGAGTGGAGGGCAGAAAGCGCGGGTGAATCTCGCAAGGTAAATTGCCTTTCCTTGGCCACTCTGCGCTTGCCTCTCTCTAAGCCTCCACTGGTGGGACAAGTAGAGCCCGCTCACCTTGTGTTAGGTCCCGCATGATGCATGGGTTTCAGGTTATTCTGTGGGCACTGGATTGAATGTCCAGTTGGTGAATGTCATGAGGATCCCAGGAGACAACTGGGAGTGGGAGATACTCTTGCGTCTGATTCCTCTTTCTGCTTTCCAGAGCAGTCTATCAAGACGCTGACATCTACCTCCTGGACGACCCGCTCAGCGCAGTAGATGCAGAAGTTGGCAAGCACCTGTTCCAGCTGTGAGTTTGTGGCGTCTTATGTCATCTCTGAGTTCCGAAGCCCTTCCCAGTGGGCTCAAGACAGGCTTTGTGGCTTCAGCAGATTCAGCTCCTCCTGCTTTGTACCCCTCCTCCCCTCCCCCTCACTGAAGATCCACCATAGGGAAAAATGTGCAAATGCAAGGTCAAGGGAGGAAAGTGCAGAAGGTGATGTCAGTGTGGTGAAGGGAGCTGAGCACATACATTAGGGATTCAGAAGGAGATAGCAAATCTTGCAAGTCTCCCCCTGCTCCTTGCAGCTGATAACCAAGAAACTGTTGAAGATCCAGAGCCCAGGAAGAACAATGGTGATGTGTAGCTTTCAAATTGGAGGATGGGACTTAATAGCCTGGTACTGGACTGTTGCTTCTTTTCTTCCATCTTTTGTTTATGGCCTATAAGCCGTATGATTTTTAGGGCCTCCATGAAAAGGCCTTGTTGGCTTACTCTTATTAATCTGTAGGTTTGGAAGTAATTAGTGAGGTCTAGAATTTAGGAATGATTTGTTCCACATCGAAAGTATGGCTTCAAGGGTTTAACATTGCTTCATGGATTCTTAGAACTAACATTAAGCCTCACAGCTGTGTTGGGTTGGTTTGCATGTGAAATTGGGCCTCTAGGATCTGGCTTAACTCCCTGCTCTAACTTGTATCCTGCAGTTTGGTGTTTTGGCCCTTGTTTATAGCCACTGAGTCAGTGAGCTAGAATGCTCTGGAGTCTTTTCTGTGTATGCTGCAACTGACATATGCAGGCAGATGTCTCCTGTGCATTCTAGGTTGGCCTTTTCAAAAGCTTATGAACTTGGTCTTGCTAAAACAGCATAGTCTGCTCCCCTATTTGCTTCCTATTTGCTGTTCATCTCCTTAAGGCTCAGGAGTTGTTCACAGTCATTGATGGATGCTCTTCAGTATACACTGAGGTGGAGGCTCTGACTGATGTCACTGCATTACACATCTTAGCTATCCTAGAAGGGAACAGTAAGCCTCAGAAAAGTTAAGGACCCTCACTAGGCAGAATAAGGGGACAAAGAAGTTTAGATCTCATTCCTGCCCTTGAAGTGTATCAAGACAAGTGCTTGGGAAGTTAAAGCATCTGCTAAACCGGAGAAGTAGGTGGCTCTGCAGGCATTCCACTGAGATCTGGAAGCTCACAGTGGGCTGGCTTTGGCAGGAAGTGGCCTGCAATCTTGCAGGCTGGGGAGGTCTGGAGAAGCTGAGAATGTGATTCAGTTCCTCTAGGTAAAAAGTGTAGTCGAAGCAGAGGTGTAGAGATAGCAACCAGCAAGATACGCGAAAAGAGCAGCAAGTGGGCGAGTCTCCCTCAAGTACAGGATGCAGGTTGGAGAGTAGGGAAAGATAGATTGGCTGCCAAATCAAAACGCTGCATACTGAACAGCAGAACTTTTTTCTCTCACAGTTTGGGAAGTTGGAAGTCTGAGATGAGGTATTGGCAGGCATGGTCCCTCTTGTTGGCTTGTGGAGAGTCGCTTCTTCTCAGTGTCCTCACGTTGTCTTTCTTCCTCAAATGTATCCTCTTCTTAGAAGGACATTTAGTCAGGTTGGATGAGGGTCCATCCTTACAGACTCTCTTAACTAATTATCTCACTAAACATTCTGTCTTCAAATTCTGTGGTGCTGGGGTTGGACTTCAACAAGGGAGTTTGGTGGAGGCACAGTTTGTTCCCTACCAGGTCCTAAATAGTAAAGAAGACAGAGATTCAAGCAGAGTGAGAATAACTCATCTCCAGGCTGTGGATTCTAGGGCTGGGGCACGAGGTCATCCCTGATCGTGGATTACTAAAGAGTAACATGTGCCTGGTATTGAAGTGCCAAAAATATTCTGGAAGTAGGTGGTGGTGATGGTTGCATAATAACAGGAATATACTTCATGTTAGTGAGTGTTACACTTAGAAATGGTTGGAGTGGTAAATTTTACATTGTGTTTATTTTACGCCCCCCCCCCCCATACAAAGTGTGCCTGGTGGCATTGAATCTTTCAGAAGGTAGAATGCAGGAGCAGCTGGTACTTGGTGTTGTGCCAGCTCTCTCCTCCTTTTCTGCTCCCTCCTGATTGTAACATGATGGATTTTTCCTTTGGGCAAAGAACAGCCCTTTGTCATGTGTATAAGCCTTGTGCAGGTCCAGTTCTCTATCACTTGAAGAGCAATTCCTGATGGGACACCACAGTAGAGTCTCTGGGGAGGAGGGAGAAAGGTATTCTAATTGCTGAGTATCAGTATGCATGCCACAAAAGCTTCCCCAACTTTCTCTTTGAACACAGAGGTGTTTATAAAGTCTTCTCGTACCTTTAAGGTTTAATGACTTTGGATATACACTCGATAGAAGCAAGCTTGTTAAAATTGTTGTTTGCTAATCAGAACCGCATTCTTTGGGGAAACTTAGAGCAGGGAGCACGAATGCAATTTAGGAAACCACTCAGCAGCAACTGGAGAATGTTCTCAACGAGTTAGAAAATTGGATTGAACAATATGCTATGAAAGATGGCGGTTGTGTTGAAGCTTAGAAATGTGAAGTGTTTTGTATTAAAAGTGAATGAATTACACTTCTGTTTGCCATTAACAGTTTTACTGCAATCATGAATATACATCCAAGGTTATTAGGGTTTTCAAGTTTTTCAGCAAAATGTTGTAAACATAAAGAGGATTCTATCATGTACAGAAGGCCAAGGTCCTTAGATTAACAGATATCAAGTTAATCTGCTTGTAGCTCTGAAACTTGTCATGGTTTAGAAAGCCCTAAATTCTCAGATCCCTGTCTTTTTCATAATCATTTCTTCAGGGCTAGACTTACCAGATCTCCCACACTGCTGCCTACCTAGTTGTCTTACTCCATGTGGACTATTATGATGAATAAACTAGGTGACTTATAAACAACTGAAATGTATTTCTCACAGTCGTGGAGACTGGGAAGTCCAAGATCAAGATTCTAGCGGATTTGGTGCCTGCTGTGGGCTTCTCTGGTTCATAGACAGTTGTCTTCTTACTTTATCCTCACATGGTGGATGTGAGGGGCATGGCAAATCCCTTGAGCCTCTTTTATAAGGACACTAATCCCTTTCACCAGGACAGATCCCCATGAAAAGGCCCCATCTCCTAACATGTTGCTGATTAGGTTTATGAGGCCGGGGGTTGGGGGGAAGCACACATATCACAGCAGAAGTTCAACCTCCCTGTTTCACTCCTTCACAGTCTCCCCTCACCTCTGGATGCCATTCTAGGTCCTCAGATGGCAAATGGGTTTTTGCAATCTACCCATTCATCTTTCCAACCCTTCCTCACATAAGCTAGTACTCTGTCATGTCCCCTGAATAAGGTCTGCCCTTTCTCAGGTCTGTCTGTCTGAGTGTTGTTCCTTCTGTCTGAGAGCTGGGTCATCCTGTGTCAGGGGTAGAGGAAAAGGAAGGACACAGACCCTTCCTGCCTGCCTTTCCCTCCTGCTCCTCCAGGGGGCATCGTGCTTTTCTGGTCTATGCACAGTCCACAAGGGGTTGTTCTAGATCACCTCCAAGTCCTTGCCCTTCCTCCCTTCTCTGGACTGTGAGTGCATGAGGGAACCCAGAGGCCACTGCACCTGCTGCACCTTCTCTCTCAGGTGTTCTCATGGCTCATTCATCTCCTTGTAGAGAGGCCATCTATTCCCTGTGTCTCTAAAATAGCAAATCTTACCTGGAGTTTTCCTCATAACCTATCTCTGCATTTTCTGATTTCATGCAGTATGTCTTCCCTACCCAGTGCAGGTGTTGTCTGTTTGTCCAGCCCATGGACGCGTCCTCACCTGTTAGAACAATCCCTGAGTGCTGGGTAGCTGCTCAGCAAATGTGTGTTGACTGAATGAATCCAAGTAGTGACTCTGTCTTTCTTATTTGTGCCACCTCCACCATGGAGGACTTCTGCCAATCCAGTCAGTTCTTGTGTAGGGTAAGAATGAAATGTCACATGAAATTGATGATGAAAATGAATTGAATGAAATATCAATTTTATTGTATGCCAATAAAATTTTTTAAAGAAACGAATGAAGTGGCTTGTTGTGGAACCAGTTGATATTTTTATAGCATGGGCAGGGACGGTGGTACGTGCCTGTTGTCCCAGCTATTTGGGAGGCTGAGACAGGAGGATCCCTTTAGCCTAGTATTTCTGGGTCAACTTGGCAGTATAGCGAGACCAGGTCTCTTAATAAAAATGATTTTTATGTCACAACTTGGAAATTTTTACTCTCAAAAAATTGGAAACTGTGCTCCTGGATATTTTGAAAAACACCTTATTTAGAAAACATTTAAATATTTGTATTATCCTGTCTGTGATGGATGATGTTAGCAAGAAAACATTTTGAAATCTTTGACTTGGGCCTTTTTAATCTCCCTTCAGGTATTTCTATAAAGCAATGAGTGACAGGTAATTTTGAATGATGGAGAAACAATTTGTTAAAGTGTAGCCAGATAGGGTTGCTCAGACCTGTAATCCCAGCTACTTGGCAGGTAGAGATCAGAAGGATTCTGGTTTGAGATCAGCCTGGGCAAAAAGTTAGTGAGAGTCCCATCTCAACAAAAACTCTGAGTGTGGTGGCACAAACCTGTGATTCCAGTTATGTAGGAGGATTGCCATCCAAGGCTGGCCTGGGCAGAAAGTATGAGCCCTTATCTAAAAAATAGCTAAGGCAAAAAATGTTAAAAACTTAGTAATAAAATAACTTAGTGTTTTATTAAGCTAGGTTTTAGAATTTCAGTGTTGTTCAGATGTTTTTATCATATACATAAGTGTTCAACTGAGATTTAGGAAAAAAATTATCAGTCACTGCCTCCTTTACTGAACTGCCTTTTAGAATTTTTAGCAGATCAAGACTCAAAATTGCTGCTAGTGAACTTGGTTACTAGTTGGTGTCATCGATTTATATTTGTATTTGTATGTAATTTGTCTTTATGTCTGTATTTAAATTATGTATCTTTGGCTGCTGTGTCATCTTTGTCTCATTGTGGCCTGAACTGTTTTTCAGTTTGGAACGTCCTCACTAATGTGCTGTTACTTTTTTTATCCTTTACCTTCTACATTTATAGGTGCATTTGTCAAACCTTGCATGAGAAGATCACAATTTTAGTGACTCACCAGTTGCAGTACCTCAAAGCTGCAAGCCAAATTTTGATATTGAAAGATGTAAGTATTTGCTGGTACTCAGATGTGTAAAGGAGGGATCCCCCAGCTGCTAACCCTCCTTGGGCTTCCTAGGAAACTTCTTCCTCCTCAATTCCATGTCCCTTCTTTAGAGCTGATCACATCTTTAAGGATAAATTCAAAGGACTTGAAGAAATGCCACTATTCCATTCTCAACCATAATTATCCTAAACTATGTAAAATTGCTACCTCAACTAAATTACAACCGTTCTAGTGAAATTGTTACTGATAATAAGGATGCCCTCTTCCTTAGGAGTTTTCATTTATTTTTCCATGACTTTAGTCAAAGTAGATTATTTGGAAATTATAGATATTAAGACACGCTTGAAGCTATTTGAACTTACCCAAAGTTTGCCTAAATAGCGTCTTCCATTAATAACAGAAAAACAGTTGAGTGGCTGAGCATCTCCTGCTCAGAGCCCCGCCTCTCTGGAGTGGCCAGTCACTAGTCCTAGTGCTCAGGTACTTTGAAGGCCTCATCCACAGCATGGCACGAAGTCAGACACAGCTGTTGCCATGGTGGGGCGTCTCCTCTTCTCACAGATGGATGATAGAGAAGTGGATCTGCCTCATGAGGACCTGAGTGACAGTGACATGAAGGTGTCAGCCATGCCATCACCTAGGGTGACAGCATCTGGGGGGCTGCACAGGTGACATGGTCCTGAGAAAGAGTCACCCACCACGTTTGGAGGAGTGGCAGGGTAGCCCCGTGCTGGGGCTGGACTGAGCTAAAGAGGGTGTGAGGGACAGTGACTCAGACTGTTTCTGGGTAGTCAGCCTGCAAGTGAGAGGGAAGCTATTCTTTGGCCCAGAACAGGGGAGTAACGTGATCTGATTTGTGACTTTGAAGTCCTTGTTGAAGTTCACGGAGGGGCTACAGCAGAAGCTATTAGAAGTCAGTGTTCGTGGTTCAGAAGACAGAAGTATGTGCTTGGGTCAGTAAGGCGCCAGAACAAAGTACCACAAACCAGGTGGCTGAAAACAACAGGAAGTTGCTGTCTTGCCAAGCTGCAGCCTGCCAGGCTGAAGTCAGGGCAGTGGCAGAGCCCTGCTCTCTCTGAAGGCTCTAGGGAGAATCTGTGCCTCTTCTGCTTTCTGGTCTTTTACGGGCCCTCCTTGGCGTTCAGTGGCACTCCAGTCTCTGTCTCTGCTGTCACAAGCCATGGTGTGTTTCTTTGGGTTCTTATAAAAACGTTAATCATATTGGATTTACTGCAGTGTGGCCTTGTTTCATCTTAATTGCATCTGCAAAGATCCTATTTCCAAATAAAGTCACCTTCACAGGGGATCACCATTTAACCCATGACAAACTGCCCGTCTCAGGGAGGTGGAGGTTAGTGATGTTTTTTCAGAGTTCATGGTGGTTTGATGTGTTCCTAGGTTTCCTTGCCTGTGTGCCTCAGCACACTTATCTTCTGTAATAGACCCTTGGTCAAACCCTCTTCATGGGTTAGAAACAACCCTTTAAACATCTTAATATTTTCCCTTTGTATTAGTCAGCTTTGTGTTACCATGGTGAAATGACTGAAGCAGCTCACTTTAAAAAGCAAAAAAAAAATTTAGTTAGCTCACAGTTTTAGAGATTCAAGGAGCCATGCCTGCATGGGCTCAGTTCTGGGAAGACCCTTCCAGCTGCAGTTGTGTTATGGCAGAGGTGTCTGTGTGGGTAAGAGCTCATGTCACCAAACAGGATGTCAGAGAAAGGTGAAGTCCCGGGGTCCTGTATGAGGGAACACCCCCATGTCCTAGAACCTCCCAGGCCTTACCTCCCAAAGTTCCACCACTCCTAATAGTACCCTGGGGACTGAGCCCTTTGTCACAGTGGACCTTTGGGGAACACAAGCAATTACACCATAACCAATCACAGTGCCCTTCCTCAATCTTTTGGTAAAAATGAAGGAGATAACAAGTGACTTACCTGTGTGCACCATCTCAGGGAGCGGTACGTTTCACGTTATTGCCTTCATCAGGGCCTGTGACGATAGCTGGGTTCTCGTAGATGGCTTTAAGTGCCTTCTTGGTGCTCAGTAGTGCGGCTAGTATGAGCGGCGAGGGTCCTGTCAGCCGAAGCTCTGACAAGTGGATTCCCACTTCCCAAGGAGGATCCCAGACAGGTAGAATTGCTACCTCTTTAGCAGAAGCTCATGTGTCGTGTCGGCTCTTTCCTGTTCCCCAGGGAACTGGGAGCCTGAGTCCCTCAAGCTGGAAGACAGTGTGCAGAGGGGTGAGTTTTACCAGGGCACAGGTGGTGTGTGGCAGAATAACCTTGTCACCAGTCCCCAGATGGAGACTGCTCTTTGGGATCCTACTTTCTGCTTATTGTGAGGACAGCCACAAGGGACCATGGGATTTTTTTCCTCAGTGGACCATCTTGAGGGACAAGGACTGAGGTAGCAGGTGGGGTCCTGGGCCCCTTTTACTCACCCGACCTGTCATAACCCTGGTGCTACCCTCTTTAGGTTTGTGTCCCAGAATTTTGTCTAGTATTTTATTAGAGATCTTTGAGTAAGTTAGCTGGGTCTTATGTTGGGGGGTGAAAAAATTGTGAAATGAGTTGCCATTATTTTCTTTAACTTTGTAAATAGGGAGACTTTGTGAGGTGCAAGGAGTTTGTATGGAGGTACCACTTGGAATTTTGTATTTTCAGCTGGGATCTTCTTGGGTTTTGAGGGCAGTTTTACAAATATGAAGATGTAGCTTGTGGGGTCTGTGTCCATGGCCAAGTGTGCACATGGCCTGTCCCAGTGGGGTAGGTGGTACAAGACGCCTATTGTCCTATTGCACAAGGCTTATCTCAGTTTCCGTGTTCTAAAAAAGACTGTGTAGATACTCACACCAGCATCTCTACTTCTTGCTTCCTTCACTGTCATGGCATTTATGGTGGTGACCTTCCTTTTTAAAGCACAATTATACAGCTCTCTGATGCCCCCAGCACGTATCCCAGGATTTGGCAGGAAACAAGGTATTAAGTTATGTGTCAAGGTGAATTGTACCAGACTCGTCACCCAAGCTTCCAGACTTAAGGATAACCATCATTTTTGATCAGTTGGCATTTTTTTTTTTTTTAGTATTACTATCATGTCCAAATGCGATTCTTCTGATATTCTTTTTTTTTGATTTTAGGGTAAAATGGTGCAGAAGGGAACCTACACTGAGTTCCTAAAATCTGGAGTCGATTTCGGCTCCCTTTTGAAGAAAGAAAATGAGGAAGCGGAGCAGTCTCCAGCCCCAGGAACTCCCACGCTGAGGAACCGGACCTTCTCAGAATCTTCCGTGTGGTCACAGCAGTCTTCCAGACTGTCTTTGAAAGATGGAGCTCAGGAAGGCCAAGATGTGAGTGTGTCGCCTGTCACAACACGCCCTGGTTTTCTTGGCTCTTTGGAGCCTCGTGAATTGGTTCACTCTGCTCATGGCAGCTTCACTTGTCCCAAAGTAGAGCCTGTGGTTCCACCTTGTTCAATGGTGCTGGTAGAATTGAACCAGATGAAAGGGGAGCCAGCAGGTTTGGGGGCTCTTTTGGAGATCAGTGCTGGGTATGCTGCTACAAGGTTCAGGGATCTGTGTGTGGCTCACGTGGAGAGCCAAAAGCCAAAGCCTTGAATTTATGGCAGGTAATCCTACTTGAATTGGTGGTGCCAGGCTTCTTTTACATCCTGAGGCTGAATTTGAAGAGCCCCTTAGATTGTGCCCTGCTGTGGCTCACATCACATCAGCTGCTTTTCGTGTTCTTTTGCCCTATTTTCATATGGTTTATGTCAGTGCAGAAGTAGCATGTCCAAAGACCTAATCGCAGACAAGACAGACACTTCAGAGTTACTATCTTTTTTTATTCTTCTAGCCTGAGAGCGGCATTTTATTTTATTCTTTTCTTTGAGGGCAGCTGGGTTTGTTAGGGATTGTACTCAGGGCCTCTAGCTTGCTAGGCAGGTGCTCTAGCCATATCATCAGCCTTTTGCTTTTAGTTTGTTTCTCAGATAGGGTCTTAAGCTTTTGCTGAGGCTTGCCTCAGACTGTAATCCTCCTACTTCTGCCTCCTGAGTAGTTGGAACTACAGGAGCGTGACACCATCACACCTGGCTTCTTTTTGAGACAGGATCTTGCTAACTTTTGTCAAGGTTGGCCTTGAACCACAGTCCTTCTGCTTTCACACCCCAAGTAGCTGGGATTGCAGATATGCACCATCACACCTGGCTCTTTGTCACCTTTGATGACTTTGAATGTCCAGTAGCCAACACGGAGCCTCAGCTCCTCATGCCAATCTATTGATGTATTTAAGTCTTCCAGGCAGAAACACATTAGGGCTCCCTTAAACATAGTCATCCCGTGGTATTGGTAGGGGATTGGTTCCAGGACCCCTGAGGACACCATTATCTGTGGTTGTTCAAGACACTTACATCAACTGGTGTTTCATGTAACCTGTGTGCATCTCCCTGTACATTTTAACTCATCTCTAGATTACTTACAGTAACTAGTACAATGTACATGTTATCTAAGTAGTTGGTATAAAGCATTGTTCAGGGAATAATGAATGACAAGGGAAAAAAGTCCATGTATGTTTAGTACAGGCACAGTGTTTTTTTTCCTAAATATTTTCAATCCATGATTACAGAACCCACAAATGCGGAGGTCTGACCTTTGCTATCCTTGCTAGGCAAACCCTCACTAGCAAAATCTAGGAGCTTAGATGATTCTGATTAAAAAAAAAAAATTAAGATGCTGTGCTGCTCCTTGCTGTCCAAACTCTCATTGGCCAGAAGCACTTTTTGAACTCAATTGCTCAGTTACTGTGTTGAGCCTCTCTATTTGACTTGTTTTTCTTACTGGTTTTGTGTTGGGGACCGAACCCAGGGCCTTATGTATGCTAAGTGTGAGTCTAACCCCAGTTCTCTTGTCTGGTTTGTTTCCATTCTTGAGTGGTGCAAATATTCTAGAGGACCGCAGCATTTTATTATAATGGTACGCTTGAATTCGGGTGTTAGGCATGATCTGGAAATCCTGACACCATGCCACAATGGACATATGCTGTTTTCTTGGTTCTGATAGGCTCTGAGAGTGGTGTGGCTGGGTCCAGGATGAGTGCATGTATGGATTGGCTAGATAATTGTGTAGCCTTCTGCCGGAGGATGTTCCAGTTTGGACTCCTACCAGCAGTATGTAATGTGCATTTTTCTACAACTTTGCCATCAAAGTGTATCGTCAACTTCTAAAACTTGTTAATGTTTTGTCTTTTCTATCTTGTGTCCTTTACAGACAGAGGATACACCAGTAGTGCAATCAGAGGCGAGTCGTTCAGAAGGAAAAGTTGGTTTTAAGGCCTATAAGAATTACTTCACAGCTGGTGCTTCCTGGTTTGTCATCATTTTCCTCATTCTGCTAAACATAGCAGCTCAGGTAAATAATGCCATTTGGTTTTTGCCCTCAGAAGGATTCTTACACACCCCTGTTTACACTGTGATGGCTGCACGGTGCAGTTCACTCAGGGTTTGCAGTGAGACATGCTGTCTGGGGGGAACAGCATGAGTGCTGCTAACTGGGAGTTGTGTGGACATTACAAAGCATTTCTAGGAAAGCATGGGTATCATAAAGATTTTAAGATGTCATGTGTTCTCCTTGAACTGCTGTAGTCTGGGAACTTGAATTTGGCACAGAGCTGACCCAGAAGAACCATCTCAGTGCTCTGGGACCTTCCTTTGATTGTACATCTTTGTGATTTAGAGAATTGGGTTGGTAAGTCATGGCAATGATAGGTTTTTTTTTTTTTTTCTCCCCTTCTCCAGGTTGCCTATGTCCTTCAGGACTGGTGGCTTTCCTACTGGTGAGTTATTCTGGTCTGACTTGAAGTGCTATAAAATCAATAGGAAGCCTCCCTTCTCCACAGTTCTGGGGACAGGTGGAGTTTCTTGAGTCTTCTCTGCTGATCCTCACTTACTTTACCTGAAGAAAAATGAGTTCTTGCTGGTGGAGTGTGACCCATAATGGTCTGTGCCTGTGTCTGTTTCTCAGCCACCTGTTGAGAACTGAAAGTCACGATTCAAATTGAATTTTTATAAGGTGGATGTACGAAGGACCGTGTGAGCCAGCATAACACGTTTCTCCCAAATCAAGGTTCTTGGTGGGTTTTTTTTTTTTTTTGTATTTTCTAAATTCTATCTATAATTTAATTTTTTTTTCTCCCCTGTTCCTTCCATAGGGCAAATGAACAAAGCAGACTGAATACCACTGTGAATGGGGAAGGAAATACAACAGAGAAGCTAGATCTTACCTGGTACTTAGGCATTTATGGAGGTACAGTTGAATCATTTGGTCTATTATATAACAGCCCGAGGTGCTTACAGTGAGCCCGCGTTAGTAACTAGGGCTTCTACGAGTAATTCAGTAATGTCTCAACAGATTAGGAGTCTGAGTCGCATTTACTCTGTGAATTAATTAGAATAATTATTTTTGAAATCTACTAGAAGAAAGAGGTTGAATGAAGACTCTCAATTTGCTCTGCACTGGATTTTGAAAGTTAAACTGGGATTGAGCATTCAGAAAATCAGCCACTGGAAATGTGTGGCTTTTGTCTATTCTAATGGGTTGCTTTCGCTAAATCTTCTATCGTTATGTGGACGGGCAAGGGGATTAGAAACGGATCCCCACCCAGTGCTTTGGATTGTTCCAATTCTGTCTGAATAAACCCGGCTTTTATTGAGCTTGGATGAAATCCTCTGGCAGCAAGGCCCCCCAAATACAAGCATTATTCCCTCACAGGTATGCAAAGCTCCCTTCTCCATACTGCTCGTCTCTCGGGCTTCACTAATTACTGAAGAGGGAAGCTGAGCAGGGAGAAACCCAGTGTATGGGAATTAGGACTCCCTCTCTTTCTTACCTTCAGATCACAATGTTATCTCATCCCCAACTGTGTGATTAATTTAACATCTGACTTGCCAGACTAATATTAATGCCGCACTCTGTTTTCACAAGGGTGCTTGGAATATATGTGGCATTGCATACTTTTTTTCTTTTTTACAGGAAATCCTCATCTAAAATTTTAAGTATTTCCATAGGAAATGCTCATACAAGCCTTCCTCAGAGATACAGTGAGTTATCTTTGTATAAGAACCCACTCACTGAAATTTAATGCTAAGAAATCTTAAAATCCATTAGCTATTTACCATCCGAATTGTTAGACTTTGTGAAAACTGAAAGAGAAAGGAAAATGACTCCATTTTCTATTCAAGCAGGAAAGGAGAGGGGAGCTAAGGAGAATGCCTGTTGGTGGAGTTTGGGAATTTGAGCAGCTTTCAGAGGTTAAATAATAGTGATGTGTTGTTAGAAGAACTGTTTATTACAAAAGGTGTCCCTTGCAAGGCAGCTCTGTGAGCAGATAGATATTAGAAGGCAGAGGCTGGAGATGTAGCTCAGTGGTAGAGTTGCTTACATGCACAAAGCCCTGGGTTTCACCCTCAGTACCAAAAAAAAAAAAAAAAAAATTAGGAGTGCTCTTTAAGTTTCTCTGTGCACAGTGGGTGCTCATGATGCATGACTTAATAACATGTGATTTAAATTATGTTTATTTAAAAATGCACAATACTTGGTGAGAGATTAGTTGCTTATTTAGATTGTTTATCATATGTTAAACATACATTTCTTGAAGTTCAACCATGTAAGAGTTTTTCCATGTGCAATTTAATGTGGTATTTTCAAATTCTTTAAAGCTCCTTGGGCATTTTCTACAAGGAAAAGGTAAATCATTTCTCCTGTTCCTTGCTAATATCACATGTTGGTATCAGAACCTGCCACAGTGTTAGACTATGGAACGTGTCGTAAATAATAGTAAGAATTGGAATATGGAGAAGGGAAGAGCAAATACTTTTTATGATTATCTTCTGTGTTTTTAACAGAACTTGTAAATGAAGGAGGAAATCCTGGAATGAAATTGTAGTATATACCTCATTTTCCCCCCATAGTCTCCATTCAATGAGAAAAAAATGAACCCTTAATTCGTCTGTGTCAGTGTATCTTGTAAATATATTATACTTAGGTAGAGTCCACATGCTTTATGGAATAAAATTAATATCTTTATAAACCGCCCAACCTGCTTTAGCATTGTTGAAGAAAATGCAGACATCCTGTACATTCTGAATGATGTTTGTCTATTTCAGGTTTAACTGGAGCCACTGTCCTCTTCGGCATAGCAAGGTCACTGTTGGTATTCCACGTCCTTGTTAATTCTTCACAAACTTTGCACAACAAGATGTTTGAGTCAATCCTGAGAGCTCCAGTGTTGTTCTTTGATAGAAATCCAATAGGTAAGTCAGATACCAAGCTTCTCAGTCTGTCTTGATAATGCATTGAGGATCTGATGGCATTTCAGACTTTGAAAGTGGAGGCGAGGCTGGAAGAAAATCACTGTGCATGTCGATTCATTTTCTACGGAAAGTTTCGCTGATGCTTTTCTCTTACCAGGAAAATCCATATATCAGGAGCATACAATTATTTCCTCGGTATGTCTGTGGAACAATAATGAATGTTCACTTTGCAGCATGATTTGGGAATTCATCTGTTGTGAGGTGCATGAAACGCCCTGTACTCCGTGCAAACATGTGCAAATACAGTCATACAGTTGTTCAAACACTAGCTCTGTTTGCACAGCCAGCATCAGCCTGTGGCACTGCTGGAAGGGTCTTCTTAGGAGGAGGAAAGTTCTCTGGACAGGAGATGGGCTATGTGCTTTTCTCTGCCCTTGGGGAGCCGTCTATTCTGGAATCGCTGAGCTCTTGAGCCGGCCCTGACTATGATGTTGACCTGAAATAGTAATGAAAAGTTAACTAATATACCCAAGATTGGAGAATTGTGAAAACCCCTTTCAGAAAGTCCGTAACTATTAAAAATATTTTTCCGCAATGTCTTTGTCTTGCGTTGTTGTTGTTACCATCACTTACGACTGTCTGTTAACTTTGTGGTTTTAAAGTGGACTTGCTTGCATAGTATGGGCTTTGTGGAATCTGCTGTGGACATCCTCAATAATTAGTGCTCCATGTGAGTGAACCTGGTGGCTTCCGGATGGTGGAGCCTCTGCCCTGTGGCTCTCTGACCTATCTTGCTTTTGAAGGTAACTCCTTAGCTCAGGTGAAGAGTTAGTCATCACCACATATCCCCACCCTGGTCAGCTGGAGGCACTTGTGGTCAGGCCTAGGGTGGCTTTGTTTATGTGGTTGATAACTGACAGGATATCTGTAGGGTCAGGGAGGTGGCCTGGAGGGAGCACAGAGGTATCTTTGGCCTGGCAGTTGACTAGCTGTGGGACCAAGGCCAAAGCATGTCAGTGCCAGTGGTAGTCCTCAAAGCAGGAGGGTGTTGGTAAATGTGTGGACCTTGGCGCCAATCTTGTCTTGTTACTCATAGTAATAGGCGTCTATTTTAAAACTCATGTTCTAATTACTTAGTATCTCTGTGCCTTGGTGTTCTTATCTGTGAAAGGGGAATAATATTGATATCGACCTTACCGAAATACCGTGAGAATCAAGCAGGTGAATGCATTCCAGTTCTTGAAGCAGTGCTCGACCTCACAGTCAGTCCCCAGCAAATGTTAGTGACAATGATGGTGTCTCTGAATTTCAGTTTCTTCATCTGTAGAATAGAAATAACAGCTTCCACCCTTCTAGTTTTGCATAATTGAAGTGAGGATTAAGTAAGGCTGTTCTAGAAAGCATCTTATACTGGTTTGTTAGCAAGTATTGCTTAGTCCAGGCTGTGTGAGAAGTACAAGGAATTACGAACTGCAGGTCCACACAGTCTGGTTGTAGCTGTAGTTAGAAGGTGATCAGAAAACGTCTGTGCCCCTAGGGTTGTAAAGATATTCCCTGTCAGTTCCATTGAAAGCTGTAGGCAATTGATTGGACTCTTTAGCATTGGTGCATTCTGTTACCATGAGCCTCCAAATGTGCCTGACTGCAGTTAGCCAGGCTCTCCGTGTTGTTCAGAACCCATTGCTTTTCCTCATGCTGATTTATTCACTGTTCAGAGTTTAGGTCCAGTCCAGATCTTTTTTTTTTTTTTTTTGGTGGTGCTGGGGTTTGAACTCAAGGCCTTGGACTTGCTAGACAGTTGCCCTTCCACTTGAGCCACTCCACCAGCCCCCCAGTCCAGATCTTGAAGGTCTTCAATCTTCTAGCAGCATGTGAACTTTCATCCTGCCTCTTCCTTCTATGACTTTCTCCCATCAATGAAGTAGGAGCCCAAATAAATATCCCAAGGATAGGTCTTGTTTACTTGAAATGTTTAAAAGTCATAAATTACTTTTTTTTTAGTAATGGATTTTAAACCAAAAATTAAAAAATTTTAGATTTAAATTTTTACTTGCATAGAACTTCTTGCACTTTTTACTGTGGGAAGAAGAATACACCAAAAGCTGTGGTTTTCACCATTAATTTATGTACTATGATGGTTATCTATGTTCAGTATATGCCTGAAATAGATGGAAGTGCCTCATCATGATGAGTTTCAAAGTCTATCCTTTGAGCAGTGTTGGGAGATAATTCTTCAATATTTAGTTATTCAAAGCCAGCTCTTACTAGAGCCTCTAGGGTCAGTGAGAGTTTCCTATGAGCTGAGCATCCTGACATCTTCTCAGATTTTAGAAAACCAAGCGATCAGGAAGGAAGTTTGCCAGAATGTAGCATCTAGTAGGAGAGTGGTACAGAAACTCCAGGTGGCGCCCTGCAGGTCTGCCCCCTGCTCTCCCTTTTGCCTGAGGTGGCCACAATCCAGCTTGGACCCTCATGAGGCCTGCCCAGAGTTCCCTTCCACCCACATCTCCAGTCCCTGCTTGTGCTAGAATATTCTCAGTGACCCGGATCTGAAGTGTAAAAGTGTCTTGTTCATTCATTTATGAGCGCTCTGCCCCAGGTATGCTGTCTCTCTATGTTCGTTCCCGGCCCTCCTCTCTGTAGCTAATCAGTAGGAGACCTTTGTACTTACACGGAGACCCTCCAGCATCCCAAGTTTGCTTTCTTGGATTTATGGAGGCAAGCAGGGCAAGTCTGGAGAACACAGGTTTCTTTTTGATTTCAAAGTTTCTGTGACTGCACGCCCCTGTTCCAGGTAGATGGTTACCAAGGTCATGCCTCCCAAATCCTAAGATTCTCCCATGTTGAGGGTGTGACATTTGTCTGAGGTTGTTTATGTGATATGACCCTTTACTGTCTACTCATCTTATATACCCTGATAAATCTTAAGTTAACCAAAGCAATGTGACCTTAAAAAGCCACCTTTTCCCATCCTTCTTCTTCTTTGATGTGTTTTGGTAATGGTGGGGTGTGTGTGTCTCAGCTGTACCCATGCTTCCTCAACACGTTAATTGCGACTTCATTTGAATAATGTCTTTGCAGACATCTTCCATGCTCCTTGCTGTGTTTGCCTCTTCCGCCTCAAAATTTGTCTTCCATCTTAACCATTTCAGTTGCATCAGCTCTTCATCAGCATGTTGAACAAATCCCAGGTCAACGGTAAGTCATTTGGAAGTTAGCAGCTGATTTCCCTTTTAAAATGGAAATCAGATTTTTCTTGCAGAGGCAGAAGGCACTCTGCTTTTGACATTGAGCACAAGAGGGCAGCATGAGCTGCAGGATTTTAGGGCTAGAGTATGAGTTAGCATGCAATAAAATGCAGGTTTTATTTTAAAGCTTTCTTGGAAATTCCATTTTTCCAGCTTGGGTCTTTGTGCCTTGATACAGGTCAATAGGAAAGTTGAAAGGCATTTTTGCCATTTTTAGTATGTACAAACCATTAAACTGATTTAAAGAACTATTCATATGTTGCCTGAAAATATATTGCAGTTCAAACACCTTCTCCCTGAGAAACTGATTCAAGCAGATACTGACATTTTGGCTGGGCATATTTTATTTCCTAAAGGATAGCTTCTGGATGCCTGTATGACTTGCTTCTGTTTCCTTCTGAAATAGAAATTAGGGAGAAAGAAGCCATAGTTTCTTGAATTTTCTTCCACACCATCAGAGTCAGCAGAGACTCTTTATTCTATCAGTTCTCTCCACTTTTCTTCTTTGTTTAGGAGGCCAGATGAGTGACCAGTTGTTTTGTCTTCTCTTGCCTGGTTATGGTGATATGACTTGTCACAAATGCTTGAGTGACTGCATTGACTAGTGGATTTCAGATAAATACTTGTTTATTTTATTTGTCTATAATTTTGTTAACGTGGCCTTCAGAAACTAAAGCACTGGTGTCAGTAGAAGTGTTTGTTTATACTGACAGGAAAGTACAGAGTTAATCTTAGGTATGACCAGTAGGTAGGTTCACCCGTACAGCTGAGTTTTCTGTACTGTTTTTGTGTGTGTGTGTGTGCTCACTTATATGTTCCATAAAAAAATACAAACATGATTTTTTTCTTACTAAGTTAGAGAAGAATTAAAGCACTAGAAAAATAAAAGAAAACACGCTGATTACTGTTGTTTTTTGTTTTTTTTTTAATTCTTCTAGTGGAAAGTGCTGTAGTCACTGAGGTAGGATATGAACAGTAGCCCTAGATTTTAAGACAGATATTCTAGTATCCTCCCAAATCAAAAATCTAGAGTTTCCTTGATGATTAAGATTCTCAGCTCGACTGAGTGGGAAATTGGGCTATGTAGATGACTTCACAAATATAAAATATCTGGAATTAGGATGTGCATCTTAGAGGGGCTGGGAGGAGGGAATGGCAGTGGTTTCAACTATTATTCTCTTTTTCCAACCTCTGAATCCACCACAAGTTGCTAAATAAGTCGTGGAGAAGCGGAAAGCCAGCTCCAAGCTACATAGTGAGCTTTTTGTACTATCAGAAAGGTTGTGTTGCTACTCTGCTTGTGAAATCAATTGTCAACATATCTTGCAAAGGAGGAAAAAAAAAATGACAACAAAAACCCAGTCATCAATAGAGAAGAAGTCTAATTGCAGGGATACCTGTCTGTCTGTTTATTCAGTCCAAATGACCACTGGAGTTAGTGCTAAATGCATATTTTAACAAGTATAATATTTCGGCACTGTCAAAATTACCTTGACGATAATAGGCCTGTTAAATTATAGCTGTACAAGTTCGGAGGTAAAATGGCTCTGCTTAGCACACGTTAATCTCTGCCTGTTCACACAAGTGCTTCTGCTGAGCAGGTAGCATGTTTAAACAAGAAATACTGGTCTTAAAACCTCTGATTTATGGTAGGTGTTGTTTTGACACAGCATCATTCAGACGATTTACAAGGCAAGGCTTCGTGTTAAAATATCTCACCAGTGTCATCATTCGTCACCGACATAAATATTC